ATGCCGGGCGGAAGGCCGATAACCTCATTATTCATACTCCTTCTGGCCGATTGTTGTACTTTGAATATTTGATTAGGAGGCCAGATTTTTTATTGCCTTCAGTTCGGCAGATAAAATATATTACAGTGGGGCACACACACTTCAAGATAAAGAACTTAACAATTTAAATACAGGTTTCATTTAAATATCTTAGCAAGAGCTCGTTTATTCTCTCCAGAATCTAGTAAAAACTTATTAAATTTCTTCCGGCTTTCAAAAATGATATTTCGAACAATACAATTATCGGTGACAAAGGAAGTGAACCTGGCGAACCCTTTTCATACAGCAATTGTTCACTTTGGAAAGGTACAAAAGAGCTGACCCCTGACCTGAATTCAACATTGCTGTGCACCTTTGCCCCTGCTCACTTAATAATTGAGTTGATTTTGCCCATTTGCTTTTCACTTTTTGGACAGCTCATGTCTGGCAAACATTTCCATGGAGCATATTTCCAATTATTTTGCCACTTTTGTGTGCCAAAGGGTTTCGACCTGTCTTATTGTGTTTGCCCAAAGTATTGTGCCGCTGGCAAAGTGGCCAACAGACGAGGTAAATATAATTTTCTGGACAAATAAACTTAAAGGAATTTAAGGACCAAAAACAAATACAAGCGGGTTAAGTTTTAAATTTTACCATGCTGTAAATAGTTCTTAAACATCTTGTGGGATCCCATTTTCATGGTAGGTTTTGTGCGGGCTAAAAATAAGATTCTAAAAGGGATTATTTACCTTTGAGAGCGAATTTTGCCGAGTGCACAACCGTGAGCTCCGCCTTTGTGGGGATTTTTTGCATAGTGGCATGCACATTAATTGAGCCACTTGGGGCATAGCCTAATCAGCACACGCATAATGAGCACAATTAAAGGACAAACATAATTACAAGTGAGCTCTGCCCACGGAGAGCCAACAAAAGCGCAAAGACTTGGCCAACAAAAAAAAATGGGGGCAAACAAAGGTCCGGGGCTCCTGGCCAGAAACAAACACGAAAAGAAAGCGAATCCTGTGCAAACTGGGCAAATGAAATTAACAAATTTCGCTAGCGCATGCACAAAAGGCGAGTAGTCCTGGGCGAAGGACTTGAGTCCTTCTTATTTACGTATGGCAGTCACACAAAGCGATTTCGGCTCGGCGCTCGATTACACACCAGATTGGGGTTACACTGGGGTTCTTCGCTCAGGTTGGGGGCTTCGGCTTGGGTTTGGGCTTGGGCTGTTAAATGCGGTGATAAATGAGTTGAGGTAATGCGTTACATGCGATGATACTCCCGGGATTCTCCGGCACGCGCGCCTCTAATGAAATCATTTAAATACAACCCACACGAGCTCACTCTCGCCCAGAATCTCGACCTCAACGCAAACCCACTCGTCCACCTACAGACGACTTCCTTTTCCAGGATGTCGGGGCCAGGGACTTCTACCCACCGCAAAAACGTGCCGAAGCCGATGGACTGGGTTTCGGGTCATTATGTGACAGTTGAGGTTGAAGCCAAAAGCGTTTCCCACTCTAAATATATCTTGTTATCGCCAGTGCATAACTTGGACTAGGAACATTTAGCATTCAGGCCTTAATTAATATTCCAGAAAAGCATGCATCAGGATGGAAAATACTTAGAGGGTAACTTTTTAATGTTCGAAATGGGTTTTCTCATCACATATCCTTATCCCATTTAACTTTAGAATGGTCCTATTTCAACTCACATTTAAAAAGATGTTATTTTAGCGGGGAGGGAAACCTCTGAAAACACTTCCCATTCTGTCACATAAAATCCTTCGTATCTTTCATCGTGCAGCGCTTAAACTCATCCACATCCATCATTTGGATACCCGAGCATCCTTCCGCCCAGAGAAGGAAACAAGTTCCGACTATTTTAGTGCAGGCGCAGCTGCGTTAGGGACACCCTCGTCCCCCCGCCGTTGACTTCGATATATCAAGGCGAATGTCAAGCAGCGTGTTACTTTGTTTAACACCCGGCATCCACATGCATACGCAAACGCTTGTATATCAGGGGCGAGATGGCATTTCATTTTTTACGGCCAGCAGCACTTACGCACCAGCGCGCAAAAGGCTACACATTACTGCAGTTGATGGTTTTCCAAACTGGGGATCGCTCATAAAACAAACAGAAAAAAACAGAGAGTGGAAACTACGCAGTATGCTAACCAGGAGCAGATGGAAAGGTCCTGCCACCCCCTTCCCATAAATAATAAACCGACTGTCTTTTATAGAGAGTGCGACACTTGCGACAGCTGCTGTTAATTTGCCGTGTCATTTGCAACATTTTTATGATTCAATTCCGCCGACAGTGTCTCATCGCATAAAACGCCAAGTCAAACGCCTGCATACGCAATCCGTCTGAAGAGGGCATGCCAATTAAGCCAGGCGACATAAACTTTAAACTGCCCTAAAAGCCCCAACTCAGGCCTCAGTCAACAAAAGCGAGAGCAAATGTTTACAAAAAGTGGTAAAAAATGGGAGAAAAAAGGGAGAAACAGGATAAAAAAAAAAGCTGAGGTGGAACCGCAGAAAAGTTTCGGGGCACGGAAAGCGGCGGAATGTTTGAGCAGAAGATAAAGCCGCCTCAGGCTGAAAAGTACTGCAGGCTAAGCTTCCGTTTCCGCTGCATTTTCCCATTTTGCATTTCGCATTTGTGGATTGGAGCGCCCGAATGACTCGTCCTGGTTTGCAATGCAAATGTTATCAAGTGGCATTTAAGCGGGATTGCATAAATTGCGGCTGCCATCGAATTATGCGACCCTGTGTGCCTGCATTTAATTTTAATCAATGCCCGACTTTTACATTATTTACATTAATCATAGTTAAACTGGCGCCCCTAATTCATATACCATTGCTGTCATCGATTTAACCCTTAATTATGGCAGGCACCCGTTTGCCAAATTGAAAAATGGGCTCCGCGAATGCAAAACATTACAAGCCGCTTACATTTCCAATGACATTTATTCGGAATGGGTAATTGCGAAAGCAAGTGCTGCTTGTCGTTGAATCGCAAAACAAAAACATCTGTCTGGCTCATCATTAAATTATTTTCAATTACGCTTTAAAATTTTTATACATGGTTATGGGCCCACGTGTAAAGGTTTAAAATTTATATCAATTCACTGTCTGCAGGGATTACATTTTTAATGTTATTCAAAGCGAAATTAAAAAGTAAAAATGATACCGAAAACTAAAAAGGGATTTTTGTGTTTTGTGTAAATTTAAATCTCCGATTTCATGCAATCCATCACAATCCCTTTAAGCTACAGATTTTCATTTAGTTTTAGTTCAGGCTGAAAGGCTTCAACTTACATCACTTGTTATCCTATTTAAGCGCATACAAAAGTCAATTGGCAAAACTTTTTACTCTCATTTTAAACCTTAGCGTATTTTTAAACTCATTTGCGTTGTTCATAATCCCAGCAGAGCAACGCAAAAAACAAATGCAAAAGAAATTAAACCAAGCCATGGTTTCTTTTATTCAAGGCGAACATGGCGTATGCGTGATATTTTCTGAGCGGACGAGAAAAATAGTGTGCTCCGTTGATTGAGTTGAATAAATTATGGTTGCATGTTGATTAACTGCAGCCCAAACAGCTCCGCATTTGTAATTAAGTTGCGGAACGGAAAGTGCCCAGAAACGAGATGAATACGGAGCGAAAGTTTGCCACTTTGACATTTTAATAAGCTGTCAGAGGCCATTAGGTCAAAATAGCGGGCATTAAAACTAGTAGAGGGTTTTAAGCCTCTTTACAAAGTATGGACCGAAAATCACCCAAGGGTGTGTTGAAAGCTGGCTGCAAAATGTTGGCCAAATTTATGTATCAACTTAAATGTTCGAAAGATCGGGAGCAGAAGAGATTTTGATGTGTTTTCTAAATAGTTAAAATGCTATGCATAGTATGTTTCCCTTAAATCACATTCTTCGTTTTGGCTTGCGTTTTTAAATGACCGTTCAAAGAGTGATTGATGTTTTTCAGAGGACCCACAAGAGCTTAATTTCATTTTCTCGGACACCTTTATTGTTTTAACCCTACAGTCTGTGCCTGACATCTCCCACAAAGGAGCTCTATCTTCATCCGTTTTCGAGAAGGAAAATAGTCGCTGACACCTCAGTTGATTGCAATAAAATCCGGTGGAAAGCGGATCGATATGCACATGGAAATTATACAGGAACCTCCCCCTCTCTCCCCCGGAAAACTTGCCTTCAGCTCAGCTTGCCGATGATGACCTGTGTGCTGGCGTTAAAAAATTCATAAAAACTCCAGAGGCTGGCAACGGAGGGCAGTCAACTCGGTTGCATTAAAGATTGACACCTCGGAGACGGCTCCGGGTTAATCAACTTAACGCACTCGCATTATACGACGAAAAGTTTAATTAAAAGCCTAATTAATGGAAGGCGTTCGCCAGGTGGCAGAACGTGGCGTGTGGCCTGTCAACCCATCGGCCTTTCTGCCACGCACATGCTGGCAATTAAAATTAAAATTTTATGCTAAACTAAGTAGCAACTCAAGGCAGCAGACTAAGCTGGCTTCGGCTGACGTGCATGCCACTGGCAGCTAATAACGACGGTTCAACGGGGCGTATGCATAATAATTTGAATTTCTTGCATACCCGTGCCACAGGTCGCTAATGCCATTAATATTAACTAGCCATTTCCACGCAAATATTGTGTTGCATTTGGCTGAACACGAAATTGGTTCTGATAAGGCCAACTCATTTGGTTGCTAATTTGTAAACTCATGGAAAAGGTTTTAAAAATAATTCCAGAGATTGTTTTGTTACCAGTACAAAATATATTCTTCCCAATTATTTGTTTTTTTGGGTGCAGTTATCAACAAGAATTCTTGTGATATTTTTCTTATTCAACACCGATATACAAGCATCAAATACAACATTTTCTTTGCCATTTAGTAGTGCCAAAGATTATTGCAAAAAAAAAAAAAACTATACCACCTTTTTGTGGAGTTGGTCTGTGAATTACCTTGTCAGAATGTTTTTATTGGCCAATCGAATTGCTAAAATTCCTTTATCTCATCCGCCGTGTATCTGAACCGGATGACAACAGGGGAAGAGCATAAAAAGCCCCAAAAGAGCTCCAAGGCCTGCACTCCCCGGACATTTTTGTGTACATTTGCACGGATATTGGATTCGCATTGGAATCGAGTTGGATCAGTGAACGTATCTGTGCCAGCTCAAGAGGCTGTCTGTCTGCCCATTTCGTTCTGACCAAACTTTTTGCCACACTTTTGGCAGCACAGAACTAATTTTGCTCCTGGCTTGTCGCGCAAATCTCTCCAGAACTTTTGGATTCAGGCCCAACTGGAGCGTAGCGTATACGACGTGTTGTTCTCGAGCGGAGCGAACAGTTTTTACTTGTGTCTCGTGTGTTTTTCTTTTTAGATTTCTTGTCCGAATGCCACAGAACGCCTGTAGTGGGATGTGTTTTTCTTGTCCTCAACTCGGCTCTTTTCCATTTCGATGTTGACATGTCGTTCCTGTCGCCTCATCGTCCTCGCTCCTTTTTTATTTGTTACTGTTGCTCTTCACTTATTCGAGCTGTTTTTGTCTTCAATTTAACGTTTTTGCCACGGCATCCTTGTCTATTTGCCATCGCAGGATGTGTGTTATTCCAAACCTAATAGATTATTTGGCGCTTTGCTGAAGGAATAGGTTTCTTTTTTTTGTCGAACGGACCTTGAATTATGTTGTTTCGACTGTCAGGAGTTGGTTACACTGTAAGAAACAATTTACTGATTAAAATGAAATTTTAAATAAATTCCAATTTAGATGAGTCCAAAAAAAGCCAAAAATGTTAGTCTGGATTACACATAAAAGTTGTAATATTTTTCTAATACCTACTTTTTAAAGATTCTCAGAATGAAAACATAGATCCACTTACATTTTCGTTGAATATATTACACTTTTCCCTCGACCACTGTGAACTTTACGTCTGCCATTGGCACAAATGTCTGTGAAGTTTTTTGCCAGGCAAGCTATATTCGCTGGGACTTCCTGCTGCACATCTGGGCCAAGTCCCCCTGCCATTGCTGCTTATGCGAGGCGATTTCCCCGACGAAGCTTAGCCAAGCGTGGATGGGAAGATGGCAAGATTTAGTGTTACCTTTGCCACGCCCCCGCGATGAGCAGCCGTTCTCGTGTGCAGCCGCCCAAATTAATGGCTAATGAAGCGCACGGAGCGCAGGTGATTGCAGTCGAGTGCCATAAAAGTCAAGTATCCGGGCGGAGTTTAACCGAGAAGCTTCCTCCCGCCGGCTGCACGCCTCATTTGCTGCACAAATACTCCTGCCCACGCCGCACCCGTATCCGCATCCTGCCTCGAGTTCATGGCTAAAAAAAACGGAAGTTCGAGCAAATAAAAATCACATAAATTTTTGGCTGCCATCAGCAGCTGGAATTGCAAATGCAGCGCAACTGCAATGATTTGTATTGATGCAATATACTCTGTGTAAACACTTTTCCTCCCCTTGAGACATGGTAAATTTCCTTTGATTTTTACGGTCACGACTTGGCATTTATTTCGACCCAGACAAAAAAGTTCATTCAGTCCGATATTGATCAAGTTGAACTTCGAGTGCACAGTTTGCATTGCATTCGACACTCGGAAAAGCTAGCGAAGAAAGGCTCCATTGAGTCGTGACCTGGCCAAATGTAAATATATTTAAGGTCACTTGGTGGGAAATCAATCAACTAACAATTCCTTGACAAGAAATAAACCAAGGCAAAGGAAAATTGAAAACAAAGTATATTGTATTTGAATATGCTAAAAAAAGTAATATATTTAACAAAAATCAAACTACAAACAGCTTACCTTGTCATAAATTACTTTAAGTTGACACATTTATAATGTTAACTTATAGAGGTCAATGCAATAAATTACGTTTAGCTCAAAAGCTTAGTGGACAAAAATGTGTCACTTGAGCCGGCATACATTATTTAAATTCATTCATTTATCACTGTGGGCCTTCTTCGTCGTCTCTCCCTGCTGGAATTTTCACCGCCCGTTTAATTTCATTTACAAATCAAACGTCAAATCATTTCACATATCAATGCATTCCATCAGGCTCAAATGTTGTCGTTTTCCCTCGTTAATGTCCTCTATATGTACAACCCCCAGGGCCTTTGAGCTTTCTGCCTTTTATCGATATTCAAATATGTCAGCTCTTCCCTTATTGATTACGTTGCCAAACAATTCGGAGACACATTTGGACTTATTGTTGCGGCCATTTTGCGCTTCATTTAACATCGCCTGCTTTTCGGGTACGGAAAGTGTTTAAATGCCGCTTCCGTCTTGTTTTTCCCTTACTCTTTCCCCTGATTTTAGGAGGATGTGTTTAATATTTGAAAACACACTCAAATTGTGCGTATTTTATTGATTTTCATTTAGGCAAGTATTCATAAAAATTGGTTTCTGATGTGTTTTTTATGTTGTGTATTCCTCGAAGGACATCTTGTCTCGGATACCTCGTAAAAATATTCATTTGAGAGTGACAATGGGATAAATATAAAATATGTTAAGGTATAATAAGATTTGAATAAATAAATAAGTCACCGACATAAGTTTTTATTACACAATCAACCAGCGTTTAAATTGTATAAGAAGAAGAAGTTTATTTTTCTTCAGATTTATATAATCTATTCCACTGTGCTCGTTAGTCGGCTGTTTTTGAGTGTTTCTCCTTTTCAGACAAATTAAATGCATTAATAATGCATGAAAACATGTAAAAATATTGATAAAGTCGCGCTCAATTTTCGCAGCATTTCCCACAGCTACCGAAGGTGGTCTTAGCACTTCAAATGTGAGCAATCGCACGTGGCATATGCGGCGTATGCGTAATTTTCGCATAATCATGCGGTGTCCCAAGCTATTGAACACACTCGCACACACACAGCAATAAACCTGTCAGGGCGGCATTAAAAGTAAGTCTCTAAATGTTATTTACTCACACACACAAGGACAATCGGCGGGAAAAGGAAGGAAACAAAGGATCTGCAGTGGAAGGAGCATCACTGAATTTTGCAGAGAAAAAAACCAATTAGAGTTTGTAATTGCTTTGTTAAACAAATAGTTGAAAATTGTTAATGTCAATAAATTAAAACCAACAAATTCTTATTCTTAAAGCTTTTTTAAATGTATAGCAAAATTTTAATATTTATTATTCAATAAATACATATATTCATATTATATATATTTATTCCTATACAACACTTTGCTCTGGTTTAGTTTTTGTGCCGCCATCAGAAGATCGTAAAAATTAAAATGATTGCCCAAAGTTTGTCCGCTGCACGTGTAAAAGTTTAGTCATTATGTTGAGTAGCGCTGTCGTTAATGGGTTTCCATGTGAGAAGGGAACTGTCCTCGTGGAAACCCCAATTTCCATCGCACCCCGACAATCCAATTGCCATTCAGCTTTAATTTACAGCAGTGAGCAAATTGTCGACATTCGACTGTCGGTGGCTCAAAGCAATTGTATTGCCATAAATCAAAGGTCCGCAAAGTATTCCGAACTATTTTTTATTGTTCCCCGCTGTGAGTAAAAGCGTAGTTAACTTAATGAACACGTTCCATTTGCAGACAAAGCCAAGCAGCAAATGAACTTTGTGTTCAAACAATGCAGCGGCGAAATAAAGCGTTTATTTGTCATGTAAAGTGAAAGAAAGTGAAGACGTTTTAGCCATCGAGAAATACATGTCATTTCCTTGAGTGATGTTAACTTGGCTCTGTTACGAACAGAGGAAATCGAGTGGCTTGGAACAGCTGTGTTTGTTATGTTCTGTTAGCGGCCACGAGGCGTATGAGTGATTTTGGTTGGCAGAAACTAATAAAATGTGATATTATAATGCAACAAGGAACAATATAACTTTATTATACTTTATTATACCTATTTTCCCTGCCTGCATATACGAGTATTCTATGATTAAATCTAAAGTTGTTCCGCACAACTTCTAAACAACTTTTGTTTTATACCAGCATCTTTGGGCTGTTAAATAATCATTTGAAACAATTCCCCTTGGCTTTCAAATTAAATGTAGCATGCCCCAAAACCAACCATTTCTCATTTCCCGTTTTGCCGGCTCCCAGAAAATTTCTATTATAATCGAAACTTTTTATCGGCGCACTGCGCACTTGGCGAAACTTTTGCATTTCGCACGAGCTTGAAATTACTTTGTCCTGGCGGGAAAATGTCCTGCGGCTACTTGACGCATTAGCGAACTACGAGCGCGCCACATTCTTAGCCGTAAACATCATAAAGCGTCGTAATTGAAACCAGCATTGTTTTGGGCAAAACGGGGAATTGGCCCGCAACCGATGGCGATTAGTTTGTCTTTCGGCGGGACAGCTGATCAAATTTGGGCCAACAACAGCTTACCTGCCCACTAATTATGCTAATTTTCATTACAATTAGCCGCCTAACTTTGCTCTTTTGTTGAGACTCGCATTGGCGTATTTATTATTCAGAAACTCTGCTAAAAAGTTTTCTACAATTTGCTTGGTTTATGCGGTGAACTGTTTAGGATTTAAACTATTATTATTTTTGTGGTAACTAAAAAAATAAAACAATAATAAGTTAAAGCCAGACATAATTTAATAATAAATATACAAATAAAATGATTGATTTAGGGTTAATATTATCCAAATTTTCGCTGCATAAACCTAATTCAAGCATCTCTTTTATTTTAACAGCCAACGAACCAAACTTTTAATGAGCCTTCGGACGGAACTTCCTAAATGAAGTTTATATTTCGTTCAAGTTTATATTTCCAGCTCAAAACTGAAACACATGTCCCGACGATTTGGGGCAATATTTAACCAACCAGCCAGTGAGCGAAGGATTCAAATGGAAAAGTTGACTCGCTGGCATGCAAGTCGTCCGGAATGACTTTTCGTCGCAGTGCTCCGTGGTTGCACGGCTGAAAAGGAGCCCCAAAATAACACGGAGCCCTATGTCCTGGTCCCAAAGAGTAAACACAATTCAATTAACTCGTCGCTCGTTGTCGGTCGCTTTTTGGGGGCATTGTTGTGTGAAGGAGCAGGCTCCGTCGACGCTAAAATAACTGAAAGCGACAAGCCGATGATGGCACATTGCCAAAGGCACTGAACGAGGAGGTGGTACACTGGTAAAAATACCTGATCACTATTTAACTTGGGTTAAGACAAAGTAAACACCCGTGAGACTTTATAAAGTTTGCAACTAAAAATACTTTTATTTTAACATTGATTGAGTTACGATTTAACATCTAGACTAATTTTTTCAGTGAACTTGTCGCAATGACTAGGTGAATGCAACAAGGCGCAAGAGTATCACGTCTACAACAAAGCATTTGCATTATTAAAATTTTCATTTGGCGGTCTCTCTTGAAAATAAACTACCGGCTAATTGACCTTTTCGGGTTAAAGCCAAACCCTCAACGGCTTTTATAGTAGAAAGTATAAACATGGGAGGACTCCTATTTTGGATAAGGCGGTTCCTTTTCCATTTGTTTTGCCAAGCGATAATAACTATTGTATGCTTAATGAGCTAAATGCTGAAAAACTTTGACTTAACCGAGCACAACAGGCGTCAACATTGCGTTCGCTCATTCATCATCTGCAAGGAATTTAAGCAAAGCAGCAGCTGAAGTGTAAATGTCATTGTCAGCTTGGTTTGCTGAAAATCGAAGGGCAGATTCCGGATGGCGGTCCGAGGGGAGTTCACCGTGTGGCCTTAGTCCGTACCCTGTACAACCGAGGTATACCCAATAAGAGGATAGGTTTCCATACAACTTCATTAAATATTAGAGAGATTCTTAAAAAGGCAAACTCTATTAAAGATTGTATTATTAATAAATGGTAATAATAATTATGTTCTGGTCCGATATCTCCAGCTGCAGACAGGATACCCCAGACTCCATCCAGATCCTCGGCGTCATCGTTACTTGTGTTTCTTATTGCTTCTTTTATTGTGCGACACAGCGGTTGGGTGGGTTCATCGTCAGAGGAACAGGACATCCAAAGGATGCTGTGCGTGGATGTGGCACGGCGATGGAGACGCACGACTGCCGTTGACACGTTGGGGAAGAGCGGAAAGCCCGGGAAAAACTAGGGTTTTCGTACTTCGAAAGGGTAAACGGCGGCGCCAAGGCTGCGGGATCTGTGGAGTGTGACTTTGATTTTTGGTCGGGGCCGCGGGGGACTTTTCGACTGGGACTTACCTTCGAATAATGACTTCATTTTCCGCCGCATACATTTCCAGCAATGTCACGCCTGGCCGCCGCGGCTTTGTTTTCATTTTCCTGCCTTTGTTTTGTTTCTTTCTTTCACTTCACCTTTAAAGTAGAAGCCGCAGAAAAAAAGTCCCTTGAAAGTTTTCCTTCCCCTTTTGAGTTTTTGCCCGACAAACAGACTTCAGCCAAAAATAGCTTGTGGAAATTCCTTTAAATTTAATACACTTTTTTTGCGGCTCGTGTTGATGGTGTTTTATTTTTAAGGGCAATTTGCCGAGTGGGTAGTTTGTGGGCTGGCCAGGCCAATATTTTATATAATGTTTCAATTTGCCATCGCATAGACACAGACACGATTGTGAGGGCGGTTGTGTGCGTATGATTGATATCAATTTTGCTTTGATGAACGCTCCAAGGAATTGCCTTGGAGTTTATTTATTATACTTTTGGGTCGTCGCCTATTCTTATTCCAGTCCTTCGTTCCGTTTAAATGTCGGGGAATCACATTTTTATACAATTTTCCCGCCGCAAATTCGAAAAGCACAGCCCCTGTCTTTGCGGTTTGTTGTCCGAGGGAGGGGCTGCCAAAAACTTTGCCTCTGTATCCTGAAACTATGTATGTGTATATACAGATGTATGAATTGTTTACATCGGTACGCTGGCTGGCACCACACATAAATACATTTAAATCAGCCTGCCATTTCCCCAAAGCATTTGCATATCAAAATGCGGTATATCAGAAGGGAACGAAATACAATATTTACACACATACCGAACAGAAAAAAAGAAATGCTGAAGACATTGACACGATTTGGTCAGAACGACAACCGAAAATTGATTATTCCATTTATTTTCCGACACGAATTTCTTGTGCTGCAGGAATTACTCATCAATTTTATCGTCTTGGGTGCATGTGTGAAAAATAGCCTTAAAATATTGTGAACTTTTATGTTGTATTGACTAGTTGATAGGGCGAATAAATAATGCATTTTGTCTGAGACGCATTCCTCTCCCAGTCCTTCGACATTGATTTCAGTTTATTTCTTGGACACCCCGTACCAAACCAGCTTTCATGTGTTGAGTGTCGTTTATTGAATATTTATGCGAAACAGTTTTTAAAATTTTTCATCAATTGAATGTCGAATGATTTCGATATATGTATGCATGAGTTTTATAATAGTTAAACTAGTAAAGTAACTTCAAATTAAATAATAAGGCTTAAACATTTCAAGTCAACAAGTGTTCATAATTAAAATTAGGGAAGCAAATAATGTTTATCAATCCTCCATGTTACTCGGTTGCGTTTCGTTTTGGTCTTGTTAGAGCCTCTTAGCAGCCCCAGCCACATTTGGGGATGACGCAGGTATGTCACGCAGTGATTGAACAAATCGTCTAGAAGCTGCAGCCTGGGCAGAAGTTGAAGATTGAGCCAAGTAAGCAGTCCGTGGCAGAGCTGAAGTTCCTGAAGTAACATTCCGAGATGGACCAGTGCACAGCAATCTCTGCGCTGGACGCGCAGGTGCAACCGAATGTGGTGGTGGAGCAACAGCCCTTTCTGAAGAAGCAGCCTGGGCCGATGTGGGTGCCTGGGCAGAAGTAGAAGATTCATCGAAGTAAGTAGCCCGTTGAAGAGCTAAAGTTCCTGAAGTAACATTCTGAGATGGACCAATGCACAGCAATCTCTGCGCTGGACGCGCAGGTGCAACCGAATGTGGTGGTGGAGCAACAGCCCTTTCTGAAGAAGCAGCCTGGGCCGATGTGGGTGCCTGGGCAGAAGTAGAAGATTGATCGAAGTAAGTAGCCCGTTGAAGAGCTAAAGTTCCTGAAGTAACATTCTGAAATGGACCACTGCACAGCAATCTCTGCGCTGGACGCGCAGGTGCAACCGAATGTGGTGGTGGAGCAACAGCCCTTTCTGAAGAAGCAGCCTGGGCTGATGTGGGTGCCTGGGCAGAAGTAGAAGATTGATCGAAGTAAGTAGCCCGTTGAAGAGCTAAAGTTCCTGAAGTAACATTCTGAAATGGACCACTGCACAGCAATCTCTGCGCTGGACGCGCAGGTGCAACCGAATGTGGTGGTGGAGCAACAGCCCTTTCTGAAGAAGCAGCCTGGGCTGATGTGGGTGCCTGGGCAGAAGTAGAAGATTGATCGAAGTAAGTAACCCGTTGAAGAGCTAAAGTTCCTGAAGTAACATTCTGAGATGGACCAATGCCCAGCAATGTCTGGCATCCGAAGATCTTGCGCACGTCACTCTCCATCGCTGGTTTCTTGCAGATGGGGCAGTCGCGAGTTCCGCGCGTCACTTGCTGGCGGATGCAGTTTTCCCCGAACAGATGTCCGCACTTCAAAGACACCGGACGATGGTCTCCTTGGGCCTCCCAGCCCGAGAGGCAAATCGAACAATGGTTTTCCTCATAGATGCTCTTCAGCTTCTCGTCCAGAATGAGCATCTCCGCGCGGAGATCATCTCGTTGGATGATGAGCTGCGCATTTACGTTCTCAAGGTCTGTTACCTTGGCGGCATTGTCCTCCTTAATGCTATTCACGATAGCCATCTGGGACTGGCTCGCCTCGCAGATCGTCTGGCGCATTGCCTCATTTTTTCCAACTTCTTCTTGCAGCTGCTGGAGCAGAGAGTCTCTCTCTGAGTGGAGCTCCCGGTATTTATGTCTGTACACCTCGAGATCCCGGTCAGCTTTCCCCTTTGCGAGCTTTGCGTCGCGCACATAAGCGGCCTTCATCTCGTCCTTGCGCCTCATCAACAGAGTAATCTTGTGGCGTGCATTTTGAAGTTCAGAGATTAAATCAGCACGCTTCATACTTGCAAGTAAAGAGTTTGGAGGAACAGCGTCGACTTCCTCCTGCGGATTGTCAGCTTCTTCGTCGGGCTCAGCCTTAATAGGTGTTTCGTTCTCCATCGGCTCAACCTTAATATTACTTAGAAAGGGTGTTTCGTTCTCCATCGGCTCAGCCTTAATATTACTAAGTAAGAAGGGTGTTTCGTCCTCCATCGTTACCTCTATCTATTTTTATTAGTTTTGTTCGCAGTAAACGATAGAATGTTCTGACACCAAAGCCAAGTTTGAAATGGTAGACAAATTTAAGGGATCTAGGATTGTGAAACTTGTGACAATCGGTTAATTTCCAATCGATATACCGATTTGGCCCGACATTACCCTCTGTTTCTTCCGCAAGGCCTAGTGGCAACCATGGTACAATGCCAATGGTCCTATGGGTTCGGGTCGATAGGGGGAAAAAACCCGAACGATTTTGCAGCCGACGGGACTACCTTATATAATTGTACCATGGTGGCAACGCGGTATTTCCAGATACTACTTTTAACGCTTTTCAGAGGGGACACACTCGTTATTAACCAGTGCTACCACACCCCCAAAAAGTTGTAAATATTTTATAGCCTTCTCAGAAAAAGTTTTTTTGCACAATCAGACTTTCCAAATTTTTTGTTAAAAAATGTGTGCTGCGAGTGAAAAATTCGGCTGTTTGGTAACGTATCGAAACCAGAGTACAAAAAACAAGAAAATGGTAACATTAGGGAGGTGAGAAAGTGTCTTTCGCTAGTTGCTGATATTAAATGTAAGAACTTATCTTTTACAGATTTAAGAATTCGCAAAATAAAAAGGGAAACCAAGTTGTGGGTAAGAAAACAATTTATTTTGTTTGAGTATACATACATAGATAGGTGCACTGGCTCTTTTCGGCTGTGCCGGTGACTTTGTTAAATATAAAATCGGGATAAGTTCTCAACAAGTATAAAATTGGGGATTAAAGACAAATTTTCAAGTTGAGAATTACTTAAGGAAAGGTAAAATTTCAGTTGTTGAGAATTTCTTAAAGAGATCTTTAAGAAACCAAACAATTGGCAGAATTGGAATCCTTAACCATTACTAAAGAACCCTTTTAAATCTCAAAGATGTTCTTTGATTCTTAAGGTCTTCTTCTGGAATACGCCTACTTCCCCTTGCGCTGCATTCGCGAGCGGAGCATCTTGTTCTCATCCGCACATTTCGTGGTAATGGCGGTCCGCACCTCCCGAGGAGTCATGTCCAGACTGTTGGTCATTAGGTAGACCAGATCGGCGACCTTAAGCGGATCCAACTGTTGTTTACTGGGACGGGCGCAGTCCCTAAAGGCCGGCGAAGGTTTTCCGGAGAGCGTGTGATGGGCCAAGGTGTCCCGGTCGAAGATCTCGCAGAGAAGCTTCCTGGTGATCGAGGGTCCGGTCATGTCCCAGTTGATGGCACTCAGGCTGACACGGGACACCTCGGTGCCGTTGGGACCGATCATCACCATCGGCGACTCACTGTCCTGGTCGAACTCGAAGCCGGGACACGGACGCTTGGCATTTGGAGTGGAGGTGACTGGCTTCTTGATGCGCTTCCTCTTATTAGTCGTTGGCTCTTCGCCGCCTGGCACATAGTCCTCGTCATCGTCATCCAAACCGAGGTCCTCGTCGTTGGTTTTCGGGGTGGAAGTGTTGTGATCATCGGCTCCGTCGCAGAACATATCGAAGGGCTCCGAACTCTGCTCTTGGTCCTGCTCCTGTTCCTGCTCCTCATCTTGCTCCTGGTCCATCTCCTGCACCTTCTCGATCTCGATGGTCAGCAGATCCAAAGCCTTGCGCTTGCAACGCTCCCATTGCTGGAGAAGCTTTAGTCGTGCCTCATTCACCGCCAGAATGGTGTTCCTCATCAGCTGCGCGTTCTCCACGTCCTGCACGTAGTCCTCCAAATCCCGATCCAGTTCCAGGTCGTCTTCATCCCGCTGCGAGCGAAGCAACTTCTCGGCAGCTAGGGTTAGGGTTTCCAGAGTGCTCAGCTTGCCGTTGTCGGACATTTCAATGTGACGCATGGCGCAATCGGCAAATTCGTTGGCATCTTGGATACGGCGCATCTTCCCATCCTCGCTCTCTTCCTCCACAAAGGAGTCATCTGTGCGCAGGCGAGCAATGATCCCCTGCACCTTTTTCTGCTTCTCGGACAGCTGAACTGTCTCGGGATCATAGGGCAAAAGGGTCAGGGCGAATTCCAAACGCTGGCGACGATTAACCTGCACGAAATAAGCATTTGTAGGTGATTTTTAATTGTGTACCCTTTAGCAGCAAATTTTTGTTGATTGTAAGGATCTTTTGGAAATTTTGAATGGCAAATATATTCTCAATATGTTTTTGACCTTATGTTAGACTTACCATGTTTCTGCTTGATGTCCAGTTGCAAACTGAATTATATCTAATAAGTCATGGTCTTATATACTATTTGGAAAATGCTTTCAGGTAGTTCGCAAAACCTATTATTTAATCCTTTTATTACTCCTATATTTAACAGATACTTCGGATATTGGCCGACTACCTGCCGGAGGTCCTTGCAGCTGCCGTTCCATTTCGGGACGATCGGTTTCCAATGATCTTGGCCTAACCATCGTTTCGGAATCAACCCAAACTGTTTCCACCCAAGACATGACGACTCAAACGGAAAGCAAAACGAATACCAATCTTAACTTTTACGATTGTCATGTCAGCAAAAACGCATCTACCCAATCTGAACTAAATCTACGAGATGAAGAAACTCAATCGATGTCGAAATCGCCCAAGGACTTACACGATAATCAAACCCAAACAGAGTTTATTGAACGAGAAAAACCAAAACAAAAAAGTCGTGAAGCTGAGACAAACAAATATGAAGAGAACGAATCTACAAAGTCGAGTAGCACGTCACGAAATTGTTTTTTTAAGCGGCCAAAGATCGTGGTAAATGGAGGCTCTGTTATATCTGCAGAGTATGCGACCAAAGTGCATCAGGGTAAGGAGGATAAAAATGGGATAATAGTCATTACCCCAAAAGTAGATAAACACACTCAATACGAAAACGCAAACCTATCAGAAGAAAATCGATTGCGCGACAAGCCCTCAAGTTCTTCAGCGTGCTCCAAAATACTTGATAGGGTGACGGGGTTAGAAACAATGTTACAAAAACAGGAGCGGTCTCTAAAGGATTTGCAAGGATCCCTGAGATCGTGGAAAGCCCAGCACAGCAAACACGCTGATTGTAGGTGTATATTTAAAGCCCAACCAAAGGATTGCCAACCTCCAAAGAAACCGGAAACCTGTGACCAGGCGACACAGAAAAAAGACGAATATGATTGCGAAGCCATGAGCTTATCCAAAGAATTTATTCAAATTTTTGTAAAGCCTGAGTCGAAAGAAAGTTCCCAAAGAAAAGACCAAAAGTCTTCTGCTATAAATTCCAGTTGTAATGATTCTAAATCTAATATGGTTAAAACTGATCGCTGTTCAGAGGATGTGAATAATTTTTTGCAACAATTCAACCGAGTGTTTTCAAAATCCAAGAGTGAAGAATCAATTTGTTGCGCATCAAAAAAGCTGTCAGATAATAAATATATTGAAAAACCGAGAACATCTGTCTGTGTAAACCCTTTAAACCAAAACTTGAAACCAGAAGAGGTTGGAAATTTACTTGATAAATTCGTAGAGCTAGTTTCAAAGCCTAATGATGAAGCTACAAAAAGTGCAAAAAAAGTTGCTTCGGAATCTTGTTTGGGTAATAACAAAAGTCCCAGACAATCACCGACAACACAAACTGCGGAAAAGGAAGTGTACAAGTCCTTAATTGAACAATTTTTAAATCTTTTTACGAAATCCAAAACGTGCGAGAGGAAACAAACCCAAAAAACGGAGCCTGAGCCTTACTCATTCGATCGGTTATTGTCTGAGTTAAATAAATTATTTTCCAAACCAAAGATCTTCGATTCAAGTTCAGTTAACGAGGAGGAAAGACCCAAAAAGGTTACCATTTCGGAGAAGGAAACGGTTTTGGGGAATGAGCAGAAGCCGAACTGCAGTTGTTCGACGAGAACCACTTCAACACAATCGGACCTCAAAATGTCGGATATGGACTTTAATTCGAGAAGGCTGAATGAAAAATTTTGTGAACTCGAAAAGAAATCAACACTTGGCGATATGAACGCATCAAATGATTCCATTAGGGATATGCGGCCGAGAGATCAGTCCCCAAGTCGATGTCATCTTTGTGGTGATGGCAATCAGGCCGTGCTCGATAGCTTAATAGACGAACTGCTTCATCTGATCGGACCAAGGTTCTTAAACGACGTGGTGCTGACCATTCTACGGCGTGAGGGAAACATCTACCACATAAATGTCCGTGAAATGGCGACGGGAATTGTGCTGGGTTGTCTGCTGGCCAATGGTACGGCTATAAACGAAGCAATTGCCCTGGGATTGTTCGAGGATGTCCTCACATTCTGTGAGCTAGACAAGCGCAGGGAGCACGATCCCAGGGAATGTCCATTGGGTGCAAACCTCGACGTCATAGAGCCACGGGAGCGTGGTGGAGAGGTTGAGCCGGATAGCCATGTCTCCAAAGCAAATGCTATTGAATTTTCCACTCGAGTGTTAGGAGTTCCCGCCGATCAAGCCGGTCGCTTCTTCTCCCTCACTAATGCCCTCAAATTGGCCAAGGAATCATCAGATCAGAGCTTTGGGTGCTCGGAGGGTCGTATGTTGTCCCGCCAACTTCGTCGAAATCAGAAATATAGTGCTCGTTTTGGGCGAGAAACAGTCACCAGCGACTTGGTTTTTCTCGGCAGCAAAACTAATTCATTTTCCGATTGCCATTATCTTGGCAAAACCTCCAGCTTGTTCCTTCGCATTGTTTCTGGTAAGGATCTTGAGGATCAGAAAGGCGATCGTAAAACAGAACAGTATCATAATAATCCCAGTAACTTGTGAATATTATAGTTCTTACGCAAAGAGCCGACAATCCGATTTTTAACGCCTGAAAAAGTCTGATCAACCATTTTTCCTTTCTAAACATTTTAAATATTTTTGTAATAATTATGTATGGGAATATAACCGACACATTTTAATATAAATCTTTAAAAATACTTTTATTTCGTTTGCAAATAAGCAGCTGTTGCTTTGGAGCAGGTAAAGTTGTATAATTGGTAAGTATTGTATCAGAAGCACCTTTGCAATTCGCTTTTATTGTCACTTAGCAGCTGCGTATTGGGAATATCCGCGCAATCAGAGCGCAAAGCCGTCGCAGGTAATACTCAATTAGAATAATCCTAGCTATTACTTTATTCCTAATCCCTTTTTCGTGGCAGCTGTTGGGCTTCATAAGGCCAATAAAAGGATTAAGTAATTTTGGCAGGTAAAACAAGTTATGTGCATTTACGAATATAAAATAGCTGGCAGCGGTGGAGAAGTCATCAGTTTGTCAAGTGCATTGCTGCAATCAAGACGTCAAGCAATATTGAAACTTTAAGAATATAATCGACTTTCAAGACCTAATAGATTCACAAGAATAGTGATTTCACCATGAGCAACATTAGCAACGACAGTGGACTGGATGACTCAGCCAACAGTGGCGCCGTTGTCAACGCCAATGGTCCTTTGGCAGCCACCCGGTTATCCTGGTTTCTGGCCGAAGTTGACGAAGGTTTGATGAAGGATGGCAAATCGAATGGACATCCCCGTCTCTGCGTACTCCACTCCATGGAACTGCTGGAGTCGGATGTGTCCGACAAGTACATGACTCGCTTCGTAGAGTTCCGGGTCAATGGAATGGTGCTGGAGGCGAAGCTCATCCTGGCGGCGGATGAGAGGCGTCTGGTGGATGCCGCCCTGCTTTCGCTGAGCAAGGAGCAGCGTGAGGATGCGAGTGCCCAACAACTGTTGGTCCAGTACTCCGAAAGCGAAAAGGGAGGCGAGCGTCTAGTGCAGAAACTGGTCTCCCCGAACAATGTGATGTGGATAAGCACCAAGCCCGAGCTGAAGGGCAATCCCCTGGTGAGACTGGCTCCCGGATGCATCGCCCATGTCTTGTATGCCTACGATCAGCGCGATTACATGGAGAAGCTCCTGTTGCACCTGAAGGCGCGCAGCTTCGATCTCGCCTTCGATGACAATGTGGAAACGGAACCGGAGGCCATGACCGACGACTCCTGGATGTTGGTGCAATACAGTCCCGAGCCGGAAATGCTGGTCTACCAGGTGGTCCAGTACCGCCAGACTGTGTGGCGGAAGGAGAATCTCTTCAAGGACGTTATTGCCTACATGCAACTTCCTGGCAGCGACATCGTTCTGCAGGCCGTGGTTATCAGCTTTGGCCAAAGCAAAGAGGTCCAGGCAGCCAAGTACGAAGAGCTGCGGCGCTTGGCTTTTGATATTGACTTTCCACTGCCCGAGGAACTGGAGAAGCACCCGGACCTCGGCACTTCCACCGCCCTCTTCTCCCGCACCAGTTTATACCAGAAGGCAGAGCAGCGCGATCCAACTGGGGAGCACAAGGGGCTGCGGAAAAGTCTGGAGCAGATGAACGAAAAGGCCCAGGGGGAAGCCCAGATGATCATAGATGCCTTCGACATGGTGGACAACATAAACAAGAACCTTCAGAGCCGGTTGTCCGGAGAAGCGCAATCAGCTGTGGAAGCCACTTCCGGAGATGAACTAAATTAATAGGAATATTAATTTAGGATTTAGGATAAAATTTAGCAAATTAAGTTTCCTACAAAGTTTAAAACTTATTCATTTTTTCACTATAAGAGAATAATTAAAAAATATATATAATTATGTAAATCGGATTTTTATTGATAAGTTGTGGGTTGACATTTTTATTTTTAAAATTTACATGCATCAAAGCTTAAAAAGTATAGGATTAAAAAATGCATTCCACTATTTAGCAGTCGAGTCGGGACTATTTGGAGAGTTAGTCATCATTGGCGAATTGTGCACCACATAAGGGAGCGGCATCTTTCCGGTTTGAGGACAACCTCCGGGCGGAGCGACAAAGTAAGTGGGTCCGGGTGGACGAACCATTAGCTGTCCGAGTTGATAGGCCCTGGGCATCAAAGGCCGGCTATGTTGTATAAATCCTTGAGGCTGCGCAGCTGGTACGTAAACCGGGCGTGAAAAGGACGTCGGTGGGGGTGCCATGTACTGCGGATTTGGCGGAGCAATTGCAAGCTTCGGGATAGGCAGCGGCATCTGTTGATTAACCTGTGCAGGCGCATTCGCTGTTTGAAATTTATTCGGGGCCTTTTCCAATCTTCGATTTTGATCCGGTGCCGCTTTTTTGAGGCGTTGGTATTGTCGACCCGGCTGGAAATTGCTTAAATTATTCATCTGGGGTGCATGTCGCTTCTGGCGACTCATTTTGGAAGCTCGACACCTGGGTGGACGTTCCCAGGGAATGAATTCGTTGGGCGGCAGTGGATGTAAACTATCATAGGGCACATCAAGGAATTCGCCCAGCCCTTCAACGAAGACCTGGCATGCAACTTTGTCTTCGCTGATTTCCTGGATGTGGCAAATGCTCAGATCCCTGTGACCGTCGTCTAGCAACTCCACCTGGCACTTTGCCCCCACCTTAAAGTTGTAGTCGCCCGTATAGAGATTCATGGATTTTGCTTCGCGGCTATCTGCGATCAGACAGGTGAGCTCCACGTTTCGGTACATATACGGATTCAATGATTTGGCTACCATATATGGAATAGGCAGGCGATTCTCCTCGAGAATGCGCCGCGTGCAGGACAAGGGCATGGGCTCCAACCTCCTTTCGTGCAGGTCCAGCCTACGATTGTGAAACGGGCACTCCCTGTAGGTTTTTAGGATACATCTTGTGTCCTCCGGACGATCTAGCTTAAAGCTCCTTCCATTGCTGCACAGCAAACGGATGACTCTTCCTTGTTGATCGAGCTCGATGTCGGTGCCCCACCTAAAGGCCTGTGGATACAGCATCCACTCCACTGCGAGGTTGACGTCCGGCAGACGGAAGACCTTTATGTAGAGCAGGTTGAAGGAAACGGCCTGAGCAACGGCGGCCATATCCATCTCCGACATGGTTAGCACAGAGTCAAAGCGACCTTTATGGTCCAAGAAAATCCGTAGCGTCTCTGGGTAATCCTTGCCGTAGATTATATGCTGACCCAGATTGTAGGGTTCGTAAATGATGACATTTCGGCGGTACAGGTGACACATCGCGCGCAATTCGAGCACGGTGCCCCGCGTCCTGGGCTTCTGCAGCTGAATCAGGTACTCGTCATAGTCGCCACTTACAAATCGTTGGAAGCTACGCCTTTTCCGGAACATGTAGCGCACGCACTCCTTGCGGACCTCGTAGTGCAGGATCTGGGTGTCGTAAACATGCTCAGCTATTACGCGAAACAAATTCGACGAGTCTTTCGACGTGTGCTTCCGGAAGAGAAAGTACTGCTCTAGGAACTGGTCTATCGGATCCATAGCTCCTATTAACAAGTTGGATTGAGTCACGATGCTATTATCAGACATACAGGCTACATTCAATTTTTTACCTCTGCTTCCACTCGACACTGAGCGTTTCAGAATTCCGGACATCATTCTTTATCACTTCTTAAAATATTAAAAAAATAATACAAGTTATAACTAACCAAACAGACAATAAGAAGAAATTCTTCGGAAAAACCACGAGGTGAAACTAAGGTTGCCAGACTGAGAGAATGCCTTATTGATCATCGTTGAAAATGGAACAGTGGAAATGTAATCCGATTCCGGTTATTGTAAAGATCCATATATATTATCATACTACTACTACTAGAAAAGAAATAAATTAGGATGAATTTTAAAAAAATAACCTGATATATATTTAAAGAAAAAGATTGGTAAATTTAAATTTCACATAAATGTCTTAAAACGGATCTGGCAACACTGTTGTAATTGAATGACTTCGCAAATCTGGTGAAGCTACGGAGTGGATACAATAATTTTTTAAGTGAAGGCTCAGGTCTTAACAACGTAAGAAAAATATCAATGAGAAAATACATAAGCTGGTGTATATAATAGGAAAGAGATCAGAAAATATATTTAAACACGATGCAATATCCAAACGCCGTTGCAATGGAAAACAATGAGTTTGTTCCGAATTGTTTAAATCGTTTGCGGCGGATCCTGCTTCGAATGGATATCCTGCTAGAGCTGCTAGACGAGCAGACCCTGTTTGGTACCGACAGCCATCTTGAAACCCTGGATCCAGTCCGCAAGCACAACATTGGGGTCATCATGATGATGTTGCAGCGGTACGCCTTCGACCTGAACGCAGAATGTCTGGGTCTCAACGCAGCACTGGGCTCAAATGGCATTATGAATACCTTCCGTCAACTGAATGGCAGACTGCAGGTCCTCAACCGCTATATCAGTGAACTCTCCCGGTATGGACGAGATTTAAATGATTAATCTATCAGGATCGAGGATCTTCAAATATAAAAAAGTTAAACAAACTACACGCAGTAAGTTCAAATCAATTTATATGTATTTCTGGTCGTTGCCAAGCTTTTATCATTTTAGATTCAACACTGCCAGGGATCTCAAACAATCGTTCGGCAAAACATCAATATTTCAACAACATTTTGCCTTAATTAAAACTACACTTCAAGTTTAAGATTTATTGCAGTGATAATTTTGTGAAAGCGTCGCCTATCAGAAAACACAATTTTGTCCTTCCATGATTTCTAAATAACTGACAAACAACTTTGTGGCTCATAAATAAAGTTTCAATGAAATGGTATTCGAGATACATATTGATTTATGGGCCAAAGGAATAACTAAGGCAAGCCTAAACAATCCATTATGAGCATTTTATTGAAAAACGACTTCAAACTGTCATTTAATAAAAACACCATTATAAGAAACATTAGCAATTTGGTAATTAATTTCAATTTATATTACTCTTATGAGTAATCGAGCGAACTATGCCGGCATAATTCGGTTTCTGCACGTGTCGCAATCAATATTTCCCTATCGGTTACCATGTGTGATGCACAATTAACTAAGCGCTTTTCCATTATTAAGCAATCATGGATCATTCATGGTATTAATTTCGCGAACCGAAACACTTCATCATCATCTGGACAGTCGATGAAGAAATAAAGCAAACTCGATAATGAAGTGCACGAAAATAGACAGGCAGAAGATTTAAGCGTTCCTTCCGCTGCCCATCGGGATATTGACTTGCTGATTATTTTTATTTGCCCGGCAAACGCTTCAATTGAGACATAAAACTATGCCGACACACGAGCATAAACATTTATACACGATTAAGAGAGCTGTTTGTTTTTATGTTTGGTTTAGCGCTTCCGTTGTGGCTACCAAGAAATTCCAACAGATATTGCGTACACGCATTAAATGGCCCAGAATGAGATACAAACAAACAGGCAGCAAAGTGGGGAGAAAAACAAAAACGAAAATTGGCAACGAAGGGAGCGCAAACATTTGGCCAGATTAAAGTGTGCACTTTGAGGGCAGCGACATACGAGGTCCGAATTCAATAAAACGTGGCCATAAATCAATGAAAAACTAATCAAAAAATCAAAAGAAAACACTGTGGGATTTGGTTGTGCGATTTTGGTCAAAAATGAAATTGGCTGCCATATAAAAAGTTAATGAGAACCATGTTACACGAAAAATTAACACTGACTGTGCTCTAAATTCGTTTAAAATGCAAATCAATTACACTAAAAACGCAACTTTATTTCCTCCGGGCCATTTGAATACTTCAATTTATGCAAATGCAACAGCAGTGGAAAAAATAGAAATAAAATGAAGACCAGGCCAAGCCGCAAGCTTAAATGCTCATTAGTGTTCTGGACCAAAAAATAAAGTAAGAGCCGAAAACCGAGAGCGAGGGAGCGCAGTGGAGCGTATTTTTGTCGCCTGCATCGCATTTACATTTTCAGATCTAGCAGCACGATATATAAGCACGAATATCCCCCGAAAGCCAGAAGGACCTCTAAATGCAAAGCATTTCGAGACTCGAGTAAAGGGGGCTTTAAGTTTCCGAAATGCATGCAATTAATTGGGACTTACGACCAAAGCCAAGGCTGGCTTTCACTTTGGCCAAAACAGAAAGATTTCAGCTGCTGCATTGTTATGCGCTGTTGCGTAAATTGATCCCCTTTTAATGATGAACTCCAGTGGCAAAAATAATTTGCTTCTGACAGCCTGACGGCCGTTTGCTAAGCCTTTGTTTTATTTCATTGCCATTTCATGAGAGCAAGGTCCTGACTTCTTTGTTTTTCGTCGAAATGGAATTCCAATTGATTTCTACACGCAGTGCAATTCAAATGTGGGGAAAACGTTAAGCATACGCAGCGTTGCGCCAGGCAAAGTTTTGCACATGCAAATTCTCCGATAAACTTTAACTAATTAAAAGTTGCTCCTAATGGAAGCCAACAGTAAGACCGCAAAGGTTGTACATTATTTTTCCGCTAGCAAGTTTGCTTTTCAGTTGCCGGGGCGATGACAAACTGACACTTTTTGTGCTGCAGAAAGTTGCAATGTGAGTGGGCGCAATTGCTTTTGCCACATGTGCCGCAGCAGGAGGGCCCCACTTGCGGCTAATTCGGAGCTTGTTGCTCTAAGCCTTAAGCAGTCGGTATCTTGCTTCCTCGCGTTATACTCAAAATTGTCGACACACAAGCTCTTGGCCACACGATAAAACGAGGGCCAAACAAAACCGCACACAAGCTACCAGCGGTTTACTAACCCCACGCCAATGGCTACAAAAAAAACAGGATAAAACCATGTATAACATTCTGCTCTAGACCACAAGCAGTTGGCCAAGAACTGCGGGAGCTGCAATTTATAAAATACAGCCACCACTCGACTGGAGTTCAGCCAAGGAACACTTCGGTTTTAAGCAGTGCGTGAGTTTACTATCAATAACTTCTTTATTCACTTTTAAAGTGCTTTCACGCAATTTTGTTGGTTTAATTCTTATTTAAATGGGGTTGTTTGTGTAGAAGAGAAAACAGTCTGCATTTTATGAGCTTTACTTTTCCTTGTTCTAAAGTTTATACTGCTGGACTTTAGTACTAAATGCGTAATTCTATTTCGAATAGAGTTAAGCATAAACATGAAAGTTTAAGGGGTTATATACCTTCTTTGTCGAAAAAAAAGAGGAAAGTTCGGATTTTTTTTTAGGTATGTAGCAATTATTTAATTACACGGGTGTTTTAATTTTTTGATAGTACACTTTATTAACTATGTTTGTGCAAAATTTCGTGACAAAATATCAATTAGTTTTTAAGGGGTGGCTGTTTCCCTTAGAGGCCTTTTTTTTTTAGAGCCTTGCGGTGATAACGCTCCTGGTCGAACCGGTCAATTGAAACCATAAAAGTAAAAAAATTTCATTAGTTTAGAGTAATATCTTGTGCTTGAACGAACGATTTAAAATTTTTTTATTTTTTTATGCATACGGGAACGTTTTATGCTAAAAATGAGCTTTTTGGTCTCTAGAAATTTCACTAAAAAATTAATTTCGGCGAAAAAAAATTTTTGCGTGAAAAGTCGATCGTTCAAGCACAAGACAATTTCATTACGAACATTTAAAAAAAATTTGGAGTAAATCGGCTTAGTAGTTTTCCGCCAATCGTTATCACCGCAAAGTCATTTTTCAAGAAACACCATTTCGAGATATTCGCGTTTAAAGTTTCAAGTTCCGGTTCTAGCCGCTACGAGGCGCGCGGTTAGAAGCGCTGTAACTTTTTTCTACTGCTCGAATCTCTATGAAAATTTGGGAAAATATTCTCAAAGAGTTGTTCTTTAAGATAAAACAATAAAAAAATTTTCGATTTTTTGAAAATAAAAAAGGTATATAACCCCTTAAAGCAGAGAAAACACAAAAATATAGAGAAATTATCCCAGCTTTCAATTTGCGGTGACAACGGGCGCATATCGGGTATCAAAGAGTCGGATTCATTGGAGCATTTATTTTTTATAATTCACTTGAGCCTTGTTAAGGCTGCTGGCGGGTAGCATGTGTGTGTCTGTTTATGGGCTACCTCATCATCAACTCGTGCCACTGCCACACAATCCCCACTTGCAGCCACTTGAATTTGCTGTGGTTTTTGCTGGTGTTTGTATTTGTATTTGTATTTGCCATGCCATTTGCTGGAGAAATTTTTCTTGATTGCCTCGCCCTTAGCATTTTGCTTGTTTTTCGCTTATGCGTCGTCATCTTTCTTTCGCAGTTTCCACTTCCACTTCCCCGCTTCCCTTCCCCATAAACTTCCACATTCACTTCCTCTTACCATTTTCCACTCCTTTCTGTTTTCGCAGGCAGACAGTGATTTTGACATTTCACGCGCATTTGTTTGTTATGCTTTTCTGGCCAGCATTGACAGCGCGGGAAAGGTCAACATTTCCCTTTTTTGCATATATAAGTGCGTACGGCTATGTATTCATAGAAACTGTAGTGGGGCATAATAAAAATAAAGGCTATGGCACGCAGGCTCATTAACATTTGCGAGGCACGTGGCGGGAATGACGGCCAACTCAGTTGCTCCCCAGCGACGCATTTGGCTTAGCAAATTGATTTTTCGTCCTGCTGGCAAAACAATCTGGCACCGAGAAAAATCCATAACAATATCAGTTACTTGCCCCATCCAGTTTTGCATATTATTTTTGCTTTGCAATTCCTAATCCAAGGCATTTATGATCATAACTTACTCGCATGTTGTCAAATTTGAGACTCAAAGTGCTTGAGTGTGCAAGTTATGATAAGAAAGATATTTAAACATATTGGGATTAAAGATGCTTTTCAAATCTTTATAAAATAATAAAACTACACATTTTTGAAAGATTATTGTTGTTATTATTAAAATCAAATACATATCTTAAGGTTTTTTTTTTAAAGAAAATTAAAGAAAATGACACAAAAACTCATAGAAGAGAAATATTAAAATTAGCTAGTTCCATAAATTATATTCCTCAAAACTATAAACCCATTAAAGTTGTTTTTGCTGCTCTGCTTGTTTTCTCTGCATTCCCGCAGAGGAGAAATAAACATCAGGCCAATACACAATTTCACTCAAAACAATTATGAATGAATGGCCAGAAGAGCGCTCAAACAAGTTAACAGAGCAGCTGTTGCTGTCGAGCGCATGTTAACGCTTTGAGTGGGCCAACAGCCACAGCCTCTGACAAGTTTTCTGGCTTTCAGTCTAACAGCAGACGTCGAGGCGAGAGCACGCGGCCAAGAAAGCCCGCGCGCATGTCAAGCAAATTGCGTTCGGTTTTCGATTCGAGCCACACATGGCGTATACGCGATACGGCAATTCCCACTGCCTGCATTGAGTCAATAATGGTCAGTGGTCAGAGTGGCGGCTATCGTGCGTGAATTGAGCAGCAGATAATGTGTCAATAATTGAACTGGGCAATCGGCGTGGGTCGATCACTATGTGAATAGCCAATTGGGAAGGAACTTCAATGTAAGCTTAATTACAGCTCAGAATTGGGTTGAAACATAGCACTGAGAAGTTAAATAAATGTGTAGAGCAAAGTTTTTTGTATTAAACTCCATGGTGTTCGTAGAAATGTGTAAAAATATAACGAACTGCAACAAGCTTCTCAAAGTAAAAAAAGTCCAACTACAAATGCTTAAATTTTAAATTTAAAATACCGTACCTCCAAAGGATTCAAAAGAAATTTGAAATGTAATGTTATGCTCTTTAAAGTTCCGTACCGTGTTCAAGGCATAAACTAATATTGAAAACGTTTAATTAATATTCACACCATTTCGATGAAGCTGATCGGAGGGCGATAACATCAACCACTTCTGAGTTACAATTTATTTAAAGCAATTAAAATAAACTAGCCCATCACGCCAGTTAAAGTAATCTATTTGAGTTTCACAAAGAAAAACTCTCATGTTTCAGTTAACGCAATCAATTAGAAATAATGAAATAACATCACAAAAGTAGAAAATAAAACTTAGGCCAAGGTCTTGAAACAATGCAGAGTAAGCCAGGAAACACCTAAGTAAATGCAAATTAAATAAATTCAAATCGGATCAAGGCAGTGACGTATTTAAATTTCGCCAGGAGCGAAACGAGCCGACACGTAGTTCGACATTCGAGCTGTCATAAGCCGGAATTCAGGGCGGATTGCATTAGAGAAGTTCTTCTTTTATGTGCTGCTCGAATTTCCCCGGGGCACTTGGGATGCACGTGGATTCCATGCCGATGGATTTGCCTTCACCCTCCTCCTCCTCCGCACTTTCCCCTTCACTTTTTTTGCGGCGTTTGTCAACGCCGTTTCCCCACTGTTTGATTTGCATATTGCTACCTGTCTGGGTTTCCGAGCTCGTGAACGTGCGTGAAAGGTAAACAGGGGCTAAAACAAAATATAAAAGACGCAAAGCGTGATAAAATAGGCGGAAAAATAGCGGATAAAAAATGAAAACATTTGCCGGAAAACAAAGAAAATTATCTGACCAGATGCCCGTTTCCCTTTCCTTCCCGGGGGAGAGAACAAAAAATAAGAAAAACACGGGGTCGCCAGTGACAAGTGACAGTTTGTTTGTTTGTCGACCGAATAACGTGGTCAGGTCCGTCTGATATGGCAGCCTAATTTGGCCGACGCTTTTATTGTTTGCCCACGGACATGTCGTCATTATCTCCTGGCATTCCCATGGCCTCCCTGTTTGTTTACACGCACTTTTAACGTGTTTATTCGGCCGTAACGCCAAACTAATTGAAACACACCGGGCGTATACTTATTGTAATGCCCGTGGGCGTGTCACGTTCCGCGTGCAATCAGTGGCCGCCTTGAAATCCACTCGCCTGCAATTCCACTGCACTTGCCACGCCCCCGCTCCCGCCTCCGCCTCCTGCTGCAGCGCCCGCCCTTTGAGGCAACTGGGCCCACTGTCACCTGGCACTCAATGCCAGCAGCCGAAAGCTGAAACAACAGCGCGATCCCAGTGCCCGTAGTCATCGCCATCGCCGTAGTCATCCTCATCGTCATCCGCCGTAGTCGCGGGTACGGCCGTACAGAGGTTCCGGCTGAGGAGCAGGACGGAGCTGGAGGAGGAGGAAAGGTTGAGGTTGAGCCGAGCTGAGTGAGTGAGTGCCATGGGCGGCAACTTGTTTACCTGCCTGTGTTTTAATGAAATGCAAATGCAAACACAAGCTGTGAAGTACCATGGGTGGGATGTCTCGAAATGGTGGCTAAACTGGGTGAAGGATTAACATTCTACTATAACATTTCCCACTTACTTAACAGCATTTTATATTTGCACTACCTTTATGTGCTTCGATTTTAAGTTACTACAAAAAGTGAAAGAGGATTCTATAGAAAAACAAATCAAAAGCAAAGCGTTTTGCTTAAGCCTTTAAATTTGTTTTATTTTATTTATATTTATCAGTTTGTAAAGCAGCAATATTTGTTTTCATAAGTTTTTATATTGATTGCTTCGTAAACGGAAACCACCAGAAGTCTTCGAAATTCGAGGTGAACACCCCACTGTGCGGCACCTTCTCTTCTGCAACGCTCCCCCTCCCACCGAGCAGGTAATTTTTCTTGGCCCGCCTGCAATGGCACTTAGTGGTAATGGGGTTACTGCCAAGGAGCCGCATTCGCTTTGCCAATGTCCCTGATTTGCTACGCAAACACTTCAATTTCCGTGACAGATGACAATTTGCCACAATTGCACATTGCAGTGCAATTAGATTAAATAAATTCTCCAAATCACATTTGGCCGCCATTAAAAATGTATTTATCATAATTTTATACATGTTAGTCTGGGAAATGACGGCCTGTATTGCCATAAATAAATTGGCAAACATTTCTTTATGACCGAATGGGGGCTTTTCAGCCCTCGACTTGGCCTCAAGTTGGTTTTGCCATCGAGGCCATAAAACAGATTCAAGCACAATTTCAAAAACGACTTGAATTGGCTGACTCAAGTGCTGGATTTTGATTTTAAATGTCATTTGGGTATGCATTAAATTTATGACAATGCATTAAACTAAACACTTCTCATCGATGGCATCGAAGGTGTCGCAGCGGAAATTGAACGTGACGAATTTATGAAGAGCACTAAACCAAGTCAGCTTAGTCGCCTTTTTTATGATGGGTATTAAAAGCGGATGCTTCAGTCGTAAATAACACCAGGGGGATTATAGGAAACGTATAAAAACCTTTGAGTAGCATAGTATATCTCCAAAGTGTTGTTAGTTGCCACTTTTAAGTGGATATTAGAAAGACAGCAAAGTCACATTCATATTAAAGCTTATGAGCTTAAGGAGATCATTTTATCATAACTAAATTTTAATTACATCTTGACTTCCCGCAAACTTTTAACCTAACTTTATCTTGTTCTGATAAAGAAAAATATTTAATTTTAATTCGAAGTACACATTAAATGCGCTAGGACTTTGTGGCCTTTGACTTCAAAAGTCAAAGCGTCAAGGATAACGTCAAACACTCGTATTCCTGCGCCGAACTCGAGAAGTTGAAAACTTTTCCAATTCACTTAGTTCATTAACTTGATTCACAGGCGAGTGAGTTGGGCAACTCCACAAATGGTAATCAACTGGCATTGATTGCTCCTTTTTTTTTTCTTGGGGTCCTGTGCCAAAATCTCGTCTCGGTTAAAGCGTCGGATTGCAGCAACCCAGTGACCTTGGCCGGAAACCAGAGAGGAGTTCTTTTTGGCCCAGCGACAACTCTTTGTAACATATCACTCTGCTCAAGTTTTAGCCCGGCCCAAAGTTGCCATGAATAACTTGCGAATTTCTTTGAAAATGACTCGCTCAAAGGCGGAAGTTTCCCCGGTTCGCGTTTGACATGCAGAAAAGGTCGTCCTACACTTGAATTTAATTAAAAAAGAATTTGTGCTCTAAACTTTTCAGCTGCTAAGGCTGCCGCTGCATTTATTTAGCCATTAAGAAGCGTATCCCAAATTAATTCATAAGTTTGCTAGGGCGACAAGGCTAATCATAATCTCTTTACAAACACAGCCTTTGATTTATGCCGATAGCTCAATTTGGCTCCCGTATTTTTGTCCTTGCCTCATATTTTATTCTGACGCCTGGCTGCGATTTCATTAATTTATTACTGCCAGCGGCGACTGATTTCACTTTAATTCAATTTATCTAGCAACAACATCGCCTGTAACACCATCGAGAATTGGTATTTATTTCAGGCACACGATTCCAAACCGTCAACAGGCCAAGGGCCATGTCGGGACAAAGTCACTTAACTGCTTATCTCCCTGGAACTAAGCCAAATCGGTCCGGAATGGAATGGAGTGGGCGTGGCAGATTGTGTCTGTGTCCGTGTCTGTGTGTGCGAAAGGGAGTCACGCATCGGGGAATGTATGCACGACAAATTCATTATAATTTCGTCTACCCGAAATCCTCGACGGCTTGAATTTACCCGCGTGCGTGCCAAGACATACGGCAAGCGAATTTCCTTCTAGCTCTCGCTTGTATTGGTGACACACACACCCAAACACACATGCAGACAAGGATACTCCCCACCCACATGAACGAAAACACTCACTGATCCAATATGAAATCAGTTTAAATGCGCCCCAATGTGTCGTTCCTGGATTATGATTGCGAACGCTTGCGGTTGCCTCGAGGGTGGCTCGAAATGTAATGAAAGACTTTCTATATTTGGCTGTAACCACGCTGGCAGTTAATAGAAAAATTCAAGGCCTAGAACAGTATGTCGATGGTCATGGATACCTGTATTAAAGTATCACTCATAATCCTTAAATAAATCAATTTCAATTAATTTTTTTATATTCACTGCAAAAGCTCATTCATTAATTAAATCAATTAACCCTGAATAAGCTTTAAATCAATAGCAGCGTGTTTATCACTTACGAAACATCAGTTTTCAATTATATAGTTAAGCTTTTACCAATCCATTTGCCACGGGTAATGATTTATTTAATTAGATAGTTGAAACAAAAGCAATTCAATCAAAGCGTGTCCGCTTTAAAACCTTTCAGCCTTTTTTACGAAACTCAATTGTTCTTGGTAAAACAATAGTTATTGCATATAGCGAAAGGTTGAACTACTTTAATTCCATTTGGATAAAAATGTCATTGTTATTAAACACAAAACATATACGTATTTTTCGGAATAAATACATTCAATTCAGTTAACGAATATAAATGGCGAAAAAAATAAGAGACTGCAGACACTAAGTATGCAGGAACATTCACAGATGCAGTATAAATCCCTTGGCTATTATTTAAATAAATACAACTCATCTTCTGAATACGTAAATACAACTTTGTTTAAGAGTCAGAGAGAAAAGCCTCAGAATAATGCCTCTCTTCCGTCGCCACAATGTGCCCATGGCCATGGCCAGCGAAAAAGTATTTCTTATTTTCCAAGCACCAGGCATAAAAATATGAAAAAATAAAATGCTTCTCGAAAATTTCGCCTTAGTTTTCTCCTTTTTTAAGCAAGAGACCTGAAAGGAAAACCCTGTGCTTGTTCATGTGTATAAATGGGAGCATGTGAGTGTGTTCCGGCAACTGTGTGAGTGTGGGTGTGTGTGTGTGTGTGGTATTATGTGCCCTGGCATTTTTATGGCACTTTAACTTTACGTTGAGTAATTCCCGGCTGAAAGGCGAGAGTCAAGAGCTGGAGGAAGTGCGGCCGAGACCATGATGACCGTTTTGTAGGGGCCATTGAAAGCGGTCGGAGCTCTCGACAGCGGCTATTGAATTTATTAATTGCTTAATCATGATCCGGTTTACCGATTTACCCTTTTTCAATCAGGAATACCCCTCTTCATTTGATGGCTGAATGGGATTTTTCGTGAGATTTACAAAAGTACGATGTTCGGTTTAATTAATCATAAAGACTACGCAAGTAAAATGTTTTAACCTTTTGTGTACACAAATGTTTTAATAAAACAATTTTTATTTACTTTTTCTTCATTGATTAATGTGTATGTATTTCTTATGATTATTTATTTCACCTTTATTTTATTCCTTCCCACTCGTTTTACATTATTTATTTGCATTGTGCTCGTTGGGAAACTCCATGTTGTACTCCCTCTTGAGGACGAACTCCAGGTCCAGAAGGCCAACTCGGCTCTTTCGGTGTTTGCCCAACTTGACAATGCGCATGGCGACGTCGTTAGCGAAGGCATCTGCTATTTTGGCCACCATGTCGCTGGCCTGATCATCCAGCGTGGCATTCGCGTCGATTTTCTCCACAAAGTGATGCAGATTGCCCTTCGTTACAATCTGATTGCAGGGAGAGAATCGGTGTGATTAAGCCGTCTTAATTGGCCAGGCGCTCGTTACTCACATCGTAGCTGCCGCCGGGAATGCTCAGGCTCTCCATTTCGCTGGCCGGCTTCTTTTCGTCGGAGCTCTCGCTGCTGGAGTCGCTGGAGCTGCTCGAGGATCTGGTCGTCGAAGGGCTCTCGTTGCTCGACGATTTATCGCTGTCGTCGCCATTTAGGGCGCAGGACCAAGGGTCCTTCTTCTTCCTCTCCATGGTTGAATTAATTCGTCGACTTTTCAGCGAACTTACCAGAGTTACTGGGTGGGAAAATGGCCAAAACTAGTTGGAAATCATAAAGGCCAAGGTAGTAAATCCTTGCCTACTTTTTGGTGCCCAAAGAGGATTTTAATTCGAAAGGTTTTGTTGAACCACAGCAGCTCCATTCATAAAAATTGAGAAACTATGTAAACTATTTCCCTTTCTATTTCATTCTTCCTCTCGCTTTTTGAATGGGAGAAACCCAGCTGAGCGGTGCAGACTCAACTTGCTACCGCCATAAATAACCAGTTTAAGTCGCACTCCCTGCACCTGAACGCCCGCCATTGTTGCCGCAGCGTTTCCCTTTTCCGCTGCGGCTTTTCCTTCGGGGTTTTCCGCCGTCTTGTGCCTTTGATTTATGTCCTGCCCGGCTCGGCGCTTTTCATTTCACATGCGCCGCGTCTAAATAAATATCAAAAAGCAACAAATTGCGGCCGTGCCATAAACGACCTTTGCTTGAGCCCAAGAAGCTACCGGGCGACAAGAGCGTCGTCGTGGCTTAATTTTATGCCACCTGGTTCGGGGCAAGGCCAGTCAAAACAACGGCCACACGTGCCCAGGTGTCCTGTCCTGCGCCCATTATGCCGCTTGTTCTTTTGGCCACACGGCCGAGGCACAGTGGGATTTGCACTCGAGCGAAGTCCGCTGAATTTAAGGGCACTTTGGGAGTCGCAGGCCGAGGAACAAAAGTAAACTGATTTAATTGATGTTTATCTGCTTGCATATGTTAATAACTAGGAATCGTTTTAATTGAAAAGAGAAACATATAAATATATGGAAGTGTTTTTATTGTATTTTCTTTATATAATATCAAATAAAACAACAGATAATAACAGTATAAACATTTTTATTTGGGCTTTAATTTAAGCTATAATATCATTTAATTTGTTTTCTGTAATTTTACATGATCTATTTTTGGTTCCTTTGGAAATTGCCAATAATATTTTTGTACTTCTAGTCCCACAGTACACGCCTTTGTCATTCTAAAATGGTGTGCCATTTGCTTTGCTGCGCTCTGGCCACTTTGGAGGTGCTCCTCGGTGTCCTCGGCTTAATAAAGTCGCCTACTTAAATGCGAGCGACAATGACAATGTGCGTATGCTGCCAGTCGAGGGGAGATGACGCCAGGGGATTCAAGGGGGAGGGGAAGGTCGCCCCTTGGCCATGTGTCACACATCCGCATCCGGTGTTTGGCATTGGCATTAGGCTCCAAGCCTTCCCCCCTCCCACCTCCCATTTCCATTTCCCCCGCTTTTCCACCGCTTTTCCCCCTCCTCAGCCAGCCGACTGTCGTTTGCCGTTTCCGGCATGCGACTCTTTTATATCGCCGCTTTTATTTGCTCTGTGCACTTTTCTGCTCCTGTCCGCTCATTGTTGCTGCCTTACTTTCTGTTTCATATTTCTCTTTTCCTCGGCGGACTTATGCACAGTTTAAGTGTGCCGAAGTGCCATAAATTTCACTTTGTCAGGGTCTTTAAGCGCCCAAGCCCCAATCAGACAGTCATTGTGGGGGCTTGAATAGAACTTAGCCGGTTCGCAAAGGTTAACTGTCGTTGGCCATACGAGAACTGAGAGCCAAGTGGCTGGGGCTCATAAGAAATTTATTTGCCTGCACCACACATATGGAACTTTTCTCAGATTTTATCTAATGCTTGGTGGGAGATAAAGAACATTTAACTTAATTATTTGTTGTTTATTTCTATAAATAACTTTTTACTAATCGTTACTGGTTTTAATATAATTTATTGTATAAGTACTGTACATTTTTGCATTCATTGCATGCCAAATCCTTGGGTGGTTTTATGCTAATTAAACAGTACGTTTTTTTTTTTTTTTGTATTTAACGAAGCTTGAAAAGCTATTTCTGTCCTACAGTTCCGTTTAAATTCCACATATCATACTGAGCCAGTTCGTGTTTATGAAGTGCTAATTCGCTGTCGTACTTGCATAAAAAATGACAGCCTTAGTTGCCAAAATGTTTGAATTAATCACACATTTGTCAAAATTATTCAAATGTCTTTTGGGTGGCTGGCGATGTGTGGTATGGTATGGTGTGTGTGTGTGTGTGTGGACATGAATAGTTAATACGAATGCTCGGGCTTGTGGTGGCTTCACCCAGAGACGCCTCCTCACTTTTCGCCAGAGAATGTGTCTGTGTAATAAAGCTAATGAGTTTCTGGCATGTCTGGCAGAGTGTCGAGACTGAGAGGCTAATTCCCAGGCAGCGAGAACATGCACTCGCAAACTGGCTGGCTGCCATTAGGAATGGTTTTATTTCACATGATTATGGCATTCTCTTGTTGCGGATTTTCCACATACCCGTACACCAATAAAAGGGCATCCTATTCTTAGACGCCATTATGTTTGGGCAAACTTTTCTGAGTCAGATATTGCGTATACGCCACAGCGGCAGAGCGAAGTTGATTTAAATCGGCGGAGACACTCACAGACAATTAAACCGAACTTCATCTGCATGAGATTCGCGTTAATGTTTCATAAATGCAAAGGCAGCGCATTTAATTTCTTTCTCCATTTAAGTTTTTAATTACACTTAGCCGGCGAACAGGAATGAAAATGGAAATGGCGATGGGGAAAGTGGAAAGGACGAAGACGAGGAGATGAAATCCTTAAATAGGCGGCGCGCCATTTTGTCGCCAGCTCCGCCGTTTAATCCTTTCGCGGCATATTTTCCAACGCGCCGTGACTTAATGAGGCGCATTTGGACGCCGAGCACGCAGCTCGTCCTTTCGCGCTCGATGGCAAACAATGCGGATCCTTCCGGGAAGAGAGTGACTCTAAGCCAACAGACATACACCTCTTATCAGTTGCATTAACGGTGGCCCAGGCACAAATGTGGCATCGCATTTAGTTGGCTCGCAAAACGCTTAAGCCCCATTTGTGTGCGCCACAAAGTGTGAAAATTTAATTTTCAAACAGGAAATTAATTTCGTTTCCGCTTGCGGCATGAGTTAAATTGTCCAGTTGGAAAAAAATAATGAAATGTATATTAAACCGAAATGTTCCTTTGTGTGTTAGTAGATTAAAATAAATTACATTTTAAAGAAGGCTCTTTTGTTTTACTTAAACTTTAAATATCTTTTGCTCATCAGAAATTGAAGTAATTCATGGAAAATGTTTAGGATGTTTATTTTCTTCCTTGAAATCTTTTGTCATTTGTATTTCTTGCCTTATTTGCTAGGAATTCAAATGTTTCCAATGCAGTGAACCGTGAGAATTTTATTTGCCTTAATGGAAAGTAATTTAATTAATACATTTCCGTACTCTTTTCATGCCTCGTGAATTAATGCCTTCAGAAATGTATTCAAAACTTTTGCCCTTGGCCAATTCATAGCGATTTGTGTTGGTAAATTGAGCGACTTGACTGCCACGAATCAAACACGACCTGCAGGCAGACATCTTCATGGCTCCTCATCTCGGCACCTGATCTCCTCGCCATCGCAAACAATTTACCTTGGGTCTTAGCCTACGTTATTTGTTTGCTTTGCTTTCTGCGCTGGCTTTCTGACTTTTCAGCTGATGCAGCTGGCTCAGTTATGCCGGCTTGTTTTTCTTTTAATGTAATTTCATCGTTTTATGAAGAAGAAGGGCCAGCAAAGGTCAGAAAAGATGCGATGGTGGCTAGAGAACTTATTCAGCTTTCAGACTTATTAGATAACTAAGCATGTCTGAATTGCCAAACATCAATATGAAGTGAAATGCTTAATTACTAATAATAGGTTATCCATTTTCTGTTGATTGTTATTGTAAGAAAAATCTATTTAATTTTTGTAATATTTTAGATACTTCAAATATCTACAATTTTTCGAGCAACCCTCTTTGTTTAAGCGCCTCATTGCTGCTGCACCAAGAGCTGAATTTAATTTCATTTCGCCTGACTCGTGCTCGACCTTTGTTGGCTGCTTGTTTATTTGTGCGAATCGAGGGGAGCGGAGGGCAGGGGCTAAGTGGATTCAACTTTGTGGCCACGTAGTAGCCAATTCCGCCACTCAAAGCCAAATGAAGTGTTAACGCCGAAAATGCCAAGAGCGGTTGCCAACTGTCGCATCCGCAGCGGATTGTTGTTGTTTTTTTTGTTTGCCGAGGGGCACAAACGCAGGTTCCAGTTGAAAATCGATGGCATGGCAACAAAATGCAAACTCAAATCCCCAGCGGAATCGGAATGGGAATCGATTGAAGTGACGGGCCGGAAATCGGCAATGCCACAACCGAATTCACCACCTTCCATTTTTCCGGCGGTCCCGGAAAAAGCGTGTCAACGCTTTCCGGTGTCGCTCGGTTTTGCATATATGTATGCAATTCGATTTCAATCCCACTTAAGAACACTCTATGTTTTTGTGCCGCCTTTGCAGATGGTCAGCAACCCAGGTGATGTGATTGGAAATAAGCGAAGCTAAGTGCATCCATCAGCAATTGCCAATTTGCGAGTGGAGGTGCTGCCTTGATGGCTCCTCGCGATTCCGAGGACGAATAGCAGAGATCCTGTAACCCGTGGGCCATGTTCGATTGAACAGCAGCGACAACCAGCCAGAGCAACACCAACCGAAGGAGCAACATGCTGACCACCCACCATCTGCACCACCTGCACCACCATCGCGGCAGCACGGCCGTCGAGCTGGACAAGATCACCAACCTGAATACGGTAAGTCAAGGGGTTCCAAAACTCTAAAGTCATTGAAGATTTATATAAAAGAATATACACAGTTTGACCATCACGGTACCACTTTATTTCATAATTTTCCAAAACCATAAATACAGTAGGGGAATGTCGTCAGGGTTGGACACATTTTTGACCCTTGCCCATAATTATCGTTTTAATAAGAATTAAGATCATTTGCGTAAATAGTTTGAAAGGTAAAGGCAATAAGTATGTCTGACAATGAACATTATGTTGTGAAATGAAAAACATAGAAATGGCGAGTATTTAAAAAAAAAAAAATGTAGTCAGGCTTGGACACTGTAGTCATGGTTGGACACTTGAATTGCTACTTCAGAAAAGTAGCAATAAAAGAGGACATTATCCATGGATCAGGTGTATTTTATGTCTTTCGACTGTTTTTCATTATGAACAACAAATTTTACAACCAAGTATGAAAAAAAATTAATCAGATTCGCAATTAGGACAAACAGGACAGCATTATGCAAGTCGACTTTACCTCTTTCCGTCGTTCGCTTGTAGCGTGAACCTCTTCAAAGGGAGAAAATAAATTATTACTCAAAGGATTTATTTTTTTTACTTATCTACTAATTAATTCACTTTTTGTTGAATCAAGTAATTAATTACCAAATTTATTTATTCATCCAACTCATACTTTATTTTTAGAACTTTAATCTATTTCTTTAATTAATATGTAGGTATATTTGTTCACAATATAGAAAAAACATTGGAAAAATTAAAATATCCTGACAAATGGGGAAAAACCAAGGGTGTCCAACCTTGACAACAAAAAGTGTCCAACCCTGACAACATGAGTCATAACTCTACCGCACAACATAACTACCAAATCGCTTTATTTAGAACAAATTTTTTTTAGGATTTCGTTAAGGGGGAACCACTTAACGTATTTTTAAACTTACCCTGTGGATGGCATATTTTCCGCTGAATTATGCCACTTTTTTAGCGCGTTCTCGAATACTTTCTTCTTCACTATCACGACACTATGTCAACAAAACAGGAAAATTAACAGTTATGGGATGCGGCTAGGGATGAAAAGTTTCCCACAGTGATAACAATTAATACCACATTCGCACACAGATGGCGATAGTTGGTTTATTAGAAAAATTGCAAGTGTCCGACCCTGACAACTGTCCAACCTTGACGACATTCCCTACATACAAATTATATTAAAATATAATCATAGTTTTCTAATAGCCAATTTCCAGAACTAGTTTAATGCCCCGACAGCTCTGAATAATTTCGAAAGTCTGCTTAGCACCAAAGACAAAGTTTTCTTGTCTTCAGATGGCACCAATAACTTTGCTTTCCGTATTCATGGCTAAGCTGGTTGATTGCATTTCAAAAGATAAATTCGAGCAAAAACTGAAACCAATTTAGTCTGCTCCCAAGCCTGCAAACCTCAAACGATTGCCAAATTGCATTTTTTTTTTTTTTGCAAAGAATTTCGTAGCACTTCAAATTTCTAAGAGCCTGGCTGCTGGCAATGTGACCTTTCTGGGAAAAAGAGTGTCGACTCGTCTTTCGGCAAATAAAGAAAAGCACTAATGAATCCCAATTGCAAGTGCGCAGTTTAATCCGCCGGAAAATTGCGAGTGAGGGCTTAAAACTGCAAAGCCACCTTAAGCTGGCGTTGTAAAGTGCGCTACAGGAAATGCATTACGAAAAATCAACTAATTGACATGGCCTTCAATTAAGGCGAGTTATTTCACAACTATTATTCGCAGTGCAGCATGGCAGCATGGCAGCATCCGGTCCAGAATAATAATAACAAGATTGAGTGGAAAACAAGTTTATGGCTTGCATGTACAGGAAGTTTGCTAAAAGCAGTCCGCCCACCGCATTAACAACTGATGGAAATTATTGAAAGGATTGTTTTAAGTGGCAGTGGAGGAGGAAAGGCGAGCGTGGCTCTCTTGACCATACACAAAAGTTGTCTAGCAGCAAAATGAAAAATGTTTTTGTAAAAAATGCGGAAAATCGGAGGGGAGGGGCAGCGAAAAGGAAAATGTGAAACACGTTTATTGCCATTCATTATATTCTCGCGAGCTGTTGCGCAAAGTAATGAAGCACTTTTATACGAGGCAGCTTCTCTTTCACAGAGCACGCACATAGCCACGCCCACTTGGCAGTACGCCTCCTGAACCGGGAAAAAATATCCACACCGATATATATATCTAACAAGATTTATTAATTTTTTCCTTTAAGGGTTTTAATTCATTTTCTATTATTTGAAACGTAAAATTTATTTTAGCATTAAATGTCTTTAACCTATCACAAGTTTTTAAATATTACACTTTTTTTCCTCACTGCATTATCTTATTTTCGCTTTTTAAAATACAAAAACACTCGACAAAAGCAAGGAGTGACTGGCGTTGATGAGAACAGACTTTCCCGTTTTCGGTTGAAGAAAAATGGTTCGCTGTCTTGGTCTAGAGTGGAAATAATAATTTCGGGTTCGGCCACTGCAGTTTTCCACGGAGCAGCGGGAAAAGTGCGTGCCAGAAGAGAACTACAACCAATTTTCATTAAATGAGCACTCCCACACTCGACGAGAGCCGCCAATATGTCTTCATTAATTTCGGCATAATGTACGGCATGTTTGAGCAGACATTTAGTCGACCCTGTCATTGGGCTCACTTCTCAGTGGCTCTCGGCATTCGGGGATGGCCACAGGACCTCAATAAAAACTGAAAACTTGTACTTAACTTTAGCGGCGAACATTTGTCTCTCCTGCCTTTCCTGTGTGTGTGTGTGAGTGAGTGAGTGTGTGTGTGTGGGGGGGGTCTGAAGGCCAAATCTATTTGGGACAGGAAGTTGCGCAATAAAAAAGCCCTGCCTAAACATAGGATCGTGTTCAAGGTTCTGGCACACAGGACCTTTCTGAATTCCCCGCCTTGTGTCACTCTCAATATGGCCGAAAGGTATCCGTCGATTGTCAGTCGCCTTGATTGATAATGTAAACCGAGCAGCTCAGCACACACTTCGACCATTTAGACCTCTTCCTTGTCGCCGCCACCCAATCCTCGTTCCATCCTCGTAATCGGCGGCCATCGAGACCACTGTGCGCCCGCTCCTCCTCAAGGAGCAAATAAAAGTCCGTCTCGTCCTGGGCGAGCATCTTATCGATTTTGCGGATTACAAGTTTTTGTTATCACTTACGTAAATGGGCCAAATGGTCGATGCAACGGCTGTCTAAATGGGAGTTTTCTTTCGAAATGGAAATAGTGTGTTTTCTTTAGGATAACACACAACCTCAAACCAGATTTAACCTAAGTTTTCAAAAAATTTAAATTTAAAAAATATTACTTTCTTTGGGCTACAAAAGAAACGATGTCCGCCACCTTTGAGAAAATCATTAAATCATTGAAGTTTAAGTGTTTTTAAGTGCAGTTTGTGTTGGAATTCGATTACAAACATTTTGAGGTCTCGGGTCCCGCAGTTTTTCAACACTTTACTAGAGATTTGTTTAAAACAACTTCCATCGGTTTATTTATTATTTGGGTGGAAACCAATTGAGAAAGAAGTGCGTGTGATCTAAAAGGGGCAGTCCGTCTATGCCAAATTGCTTTTTGCGGCGTGAGGAATCGAATGCAGAGGGGTCGGGGGTCTGGGGATCAGGAGCTCTCATCACCGTCAGTTTGCCGCAGCTGCGATTCGCTGGTTGTTCTAGACACTTTCCCTTCGCTTATTGTTGCTGATGGCCGAATGGGGCTTTGTGGCTCACACCAAAGCCCCTGGCTGCCCCACACATGGGCCCACTCGATATTGGCCGTGTGTGTTGCACATCTGCGGCATTGTGATGTTTTTGCTGCTGCCTCTTGTTGCAAGTGGCTGACGAGCTATGGAACACTAAGGAAAATAAATTAAGGCAAGGAAAAAGTTTCCTAATGAGAAAGTGAATTCATTTTCGTAAATTGAATATAATGTGAAATACTTTATTGATTTAAGAATATTAATTTCAAAATATGTGTTGCTTTTTTTTACAAAAAACGTTTTTTTCTGTGATATATAATTTTTGTTTCTCTGTAAGCCGATTTGAAAACGCTGTCCGACATTCATGCACTGTAACGAACCTTTGTTTGGCTGAAATGGGGAGTGCGAGTTCATAACATGGGGAGTGGGAGTGTGGGGTCGAAGGTCAGCGGCTGTCGATTGTTGAACGGACAGTTGGCTAGTTGGCCGCTTCCTGCGATTGGTGAAAGGACCTCCGACCTCCTGCCAGTTCGATTGTAATTATTCTACAGTTCAACTTGTTGGTTCGCTGGCTAATGCGTTTTGGCATTGCACTCTGTTAGTTTTGGCCCTGAACTTAATTGTTCCTTGTGGGCGTGGCAGTTGCAAGATATCAACAGATGTGGATGTGGAAAGCGCATTAGCAGCAGCACGTTATCTTAGTTTTTGCAGCTCGTGCTGCAAATGGAGCGTGATATTTATTATCTGAATGGAGTACATCTGCTCTTTGTGCAAAATGTTAGAGGTGAATCCTTGAAGTATTGGCTATAAGTTTTTATTGTGTTACTTTAAGCATTGTACATGTAGAAGATACAAGTTCATTATTGTGCATCAACTGTTTTCTTGTGTTGTAAAAAACTAAAAGCATTTTATTTTATGTGAAACAAAGAATAAAGCTTGTGCTTTCATTTAAAACCCTTTGCATGTCATTTTTTGTTTTAATTTATTTCAGAATGGAATGCAAACCCCTTTATTTTCTGTGGACATTGTCGTTTTATGGCCCTGGGCAAATGCATTCTTAAATGTATCTAAACACTTACGCACACACTCACACGCCCACACACACTCGTACACACACTTCATTACAAGCGCTGTCTGTCTTTGTCTTTGTTGTTGTTTTGGTTTTTGTTTTTGTCGCTTCCTCTCCCTTTTGTACTGCAATTTTAATTTCCGCTTTCACTTTGTCTAGATTCAGTTTTACTTGTCGTCGCCTTCTTTTGTGTGTTAGTTTCCCCTTCTCCCCGCTGTCGCAACCACCCACTTCCACCCATCTTATCTCAACTTTCTCCCCGCGGGCTTTCTTTGTCTCGTTCTTGGCGTTGTGGCATTTGCGTTTTTGCTGATTTACACATTTGGCCATGAAGGAGGGGAGTGGAGTAACGTTTCCTCACGGCAGCCACATCACGTATGTGCACTGGAAAAAATTTTAATTAATATAATATACATAGTTATAAATTGTTAACTTAATAACTAAAATGTAGTATGTTTTTCGTATGTGGAAAAAGCAAGATATGTTTTTTAAGAATATTAATATAATAGAATATACATATATATGTATAAATATTTCAGTTATTAGAAGTAGAGTTAGAAGTCTTGAATTTCGGTGCATGTGGCATAAGGAATGGGGTACGTGCATTTCTTTTCTTTCAGTTGCTTTTGTTGCACTGAATTCGCAACGGCAGATGTTTTTCAATTTTCCGCCTCAACTGTTGAAGCAAAGTAGTTGCCAGTGGAAGAATAATAAAACAACATGGCCAGTCCGGTTCCGCATGAATATGCATTTGGTCAGGAGAAAGGGGGATTCCGACTTGTTATTATTCCTACACGCCACATCAGGTGGCGCTGCATCTTTTGTGGCAGCTTTTTAGGCGGTGTTGCTATTAGAAAATGGCCTCATTACTGACCGAATGAAGCGCCAAGTGCGCCGGGGGAATTGAATATATACCTCGGTCCTGGATAAATGAAATTTTCTCATATGCTTTTCGTGTGTGTGTTGTGTATGTGTGGTCAGGTAATTTCAGAAATGTTTTCGGCTCTTTTCGCATTTGTGTTACTTTTTTTTATTTTTGCGCAGGGACTTGACTCTGGTTTGGCACAGCTTTTGGCTTTCCCTTTTCATGCCAGCCCAAGGACCTTTGCCCAGGACGAAGACGACAGGCGTTTACGTTTGGGATTTGCATGAGCTGCATGGACTTTTTGCATTGCCTTTCCGACCGGGCCAAAAGCCCCCTTACCACTCCCCCTCCTCCTTTTCCCTTCGAAAGCCCCGCTTTGTCTCCTTATATCTGCCGAGATTTAAGCGTCATATAAAATTTATGCTTGTGGCTTTTACGAGCTTAAACCTGTGCCCTACCAACTGTGTGTGGTGTGTGTAGTGTTTTATGGGAGTCACTGTCCTTGGCGACCACCCGAAAAAACCCAAATAATTAGGCGACAGCGAGACAGCATTTTATAGGGTCCCCAATGGGATGTGTCTTATTAAGGTGTTTAATGAAACATTCTAGGGCTCTTACATTCGTATCAGATCTTTAAGGGAAAACGTTTTGAAACGTTACCATAAAATCAAATAAGCTTAGTGAAAGGTGTTTGATTATGTTTTTGGTTTAAGCAAGTAGAGGTTTTTATTGATTGTATTTGTTCTCGTTCATGAAATTATGTTTTGCTTATTCAGTTTCCTCATGATTTGATTTGCAAACTTGCCCAAGCTGCCATATATAATTACCCTTTTGCATGGCTCTTTCAACCCTTCGGCAAACCTTTTTCATGAGAAATCGAAATTTGATTTTTTTTTGCTTAAAATTAACCCACATTCCGCATCGATTCTGCCCCATTTCTGTCGATATCAAAGCAACCGGGGCAAACAAAGCCGTTTTCCAGGAACAATGAATCCAATAAATTTGCCACCGAGTCGAGGGCAGCAACAGCTGATGGTGGAAAAGTTTTGCCTAGGCCCGAGCTCGGAAAATGATTACAAAACCATGATCCCACCCCGCGGCTCTCCTCTTCTTTGCTTTTTGGGGAAAGTTTCGGGGGCATATCGTACTCGCAGCAGCAGCACTTTCAATAAGCAATTTGGCTAAGTGCCCCGCCCCGCTCCGCTCCGCCCACTTCTGGGCTGTCTGTGGCATTGTCAAGCCGATGCCATCAATATGACTAATCATGCATATATTTCATAAAGCTGTAAATCTTCCAGCCTCCGCTCGGATACTTCCCATCGACAGAAACGCACAGCTGTCGGCCCCAAATTGAGTCAAGCCACAGAATTCACTTTGCATTCGCCGGGGGCGTTTCAGACTTTCGAGGATTATTAAAATTACGCATACGCCGCGTTTTAAATGAAGTGCGCGACCGAAACCAGGGGGCGGGATTTTCACAGGGGGGTGGGGAGGGGCGAGTGGAGCGTTTGGCGGGAAATGAGGTTGCCAGAGTCAACCATTAATATTTAAACGTGCCGCTCGCATGTGTGTGTAGGCGGGATTTGCGGCATTGGTTCGTTTGTTTGTGTGTGTGGGAGAAATGCGGAAAATTAAGCTTATGACTGACTGTAAAATTAACTTGGCGGTGGTAGAATAAAATCAAAATTTAATTAAAAATGGAGTGGGTTTGGGAAAAAGCGCAATTTTATTTGGTCATAATCAAGGTAATAAATAGTAAAACAAATTTGATAAAACAGAGAAGAGAAAACGCACAATATTTCTCGAATTTCGACTAACAATTGTTATTATTTAAATGAGAAATTTTAAGAAAAAAGACAACGCCATTGTCACAATCTTTTAATACCTAATGAAGTATAATTTAAAAGGCCTACAAAGTCTGTTCTAAATTTAGCACCATACGATTAACTTAAAGCCAAGAATAAGTAATTCAGTCAATAATAATTGACTTAATATACTTTTCAGCAACAGCTTGACCCTCTTCTTTCGCTCCTGAAAAGGGCTAACCAACCCAAAGCCATAAAAATGAGCTTGAATAATCCTTTGCATTTCAGGCATTTTAATTTTTATGAGCCTGATTCGGCCGCAGGCAAAATGCGATGGCGATGCCGATGGCAATGGCGACGGCATTTACCGCCTCCATTTTGGCAATGAGCCGTAAAACGGCAACAACAATAACAACAAAAAGAAAAACAACAACAACAGAATCCGGCAGAGCGGCAGGCTCAGTTTTATCTGGTCTGAGAAAGTTCCCAGAAATTTTGCTGGCTAAAACCAGCCGGCTGGGCAAACAAATATGTATGTACAAGTATGTCTGTATATTCTTGGGCTGCCTGCGGTCGTCGGATGGGTTGTGCATAAATTAAAATATGTAATGTGCTATGTGCTATTGGCCCGGCCTAATAGAGCTCTCGCATAAATTAAGCCTCAGTTGGCGCCGATGACCCTGATACGAATTTCCCGCTCTCCCCTGTGATTCCAGCTCATCGTGGAGATCAACAGCCATGTGGCGCTCTTCCGCGACATGCTCATCCACGTCGGCCAGGCGAAGGACTGTCCCGAGCTCCGCGAGAAGATCCGCAAGCTGCGAAGGACCTGCGTGGAGGCACTGAAGCACACCGCCCAGATCCTGATGCCACAGGTCAAGAGGTGAGTCTGCAATACATACATACTATTACATTTTAAGTGCTAAGATACAGGAGTTTTACTATAAATCAAACAGAAGACATAAACTACAAGCAATGAGTGTCAATATTTTATTTTAAAAGATTGAATCTTAAAATTAATTTTTTTGTTATTCTAAATAATTTTAAAATATTCAAAAAAGGATTTAAATCAAAACACATACATTAACATTATTACTCATAATACACTTTTTGTTTTGATCATCTAAAAGTATTTTCCTGAATCTTAAATCAAATATTCTGTTACCCATTCAAGCTGCCACTTAGTTTTGCTCAGTGGACCTAAGCGGAAGACCCCAAAGGGATAGATAACATTATCATAAACATAAACAGCAACGTGTGTGTGACATTCGGGGCATTTCCTCCACGTGTCTGTGCCTTCTTTATGGAAATGTATGCAAATCTAATTGCAGTTAAATGAGAAAGGGAAAAGTGGGCGGGCGGGATAACATAAATAACAATTTGTTGGACTCGGATTGAGGACCCTTGGAATGCTCTCAAAATGAGTTAGTGGCTGAGTTTGAAATTCAATTTCAAAGTGCTGCATAATTTATCAGAGCACTCCACTTCCTCTTCACATCCAACCGAAACGGCAAAAGTTAATAACATTTTTTCGACCTGCCTCGGGCCTCACAGCATATTGGGTAATTTTTTTTCATTAAACCTGATGAAGGGACCAGTGTGAGTATGACTGCATTTGTTTTTCTCATTTGTTTGCGGGCGAAAACGAACGAAAAAATCGAGCAAAAACTACACAAAAGCTGTTGAAAATCGTTTTGTTTGCCAATGAACGACGTGGTAAGAGCTCGCATCACTGTGATGTGGATTTTCACTGAAGGGCTCAGCTGAAAAGGCGCAAAACTTTAACGTCCCAGTTGACTTTTGGGGCCTGTCTGTTTGCCGACTTCAATTTATTGATTTATGCCCCCGAAATGTTTCAAAGACGGAGTCCCATGTGGATGCCACACATGTGCCATTATCGCACCCCGAAAACGCCTCCTTTTCATTTTTTAACAAATATCTTGAGGGCGGAATTCATATACAATACATACAGTGTTTGTAATTTCAGACACACACACTCATAGTACGTGGGTATCTGTCAAATTTTGTCTCTGCAAAGAAGAACTTTTTAAGCACACCACGCTGGCATATGACAATGTGATTTATTATCGAGAAGACGCTTTAAATGTCACTCTGGAGTGGAGAAATGTCAATATAACGAGACGAGCATCCGCATCAGCATTTTGTCCACTCTCGTACACTCTCCATAGTACATTCGAATGGGAAAAGTGCAGAAAAGTGGCAACTGAGAACTGAGGAAAAGCGGAACGGAGACAGTTGAATTGATGATTGGCTGGCTGGCAGCAGGCCAGAAGCAACGGGGAGATTTCAATTAATTTCTGCTTTATTGACACAAATGAACGACTCGACGCGACGAGCGGCCTCAGTTCACGACGTGGTTCGGCTCAGATTCGCTTTGCAAATAGGCGCACATGGCGTATGAGTGACGACAATGAATTAGCGCGGCAAAAAGCATCAGGCAGACTGCTCGAGGACCCAAAGTTAAATTGAAAGTAAAAGTTCAATAAAGCAAAAAGTATGCTCGGAAAATGAACAAAGCAAATGGAAAAGCTGCCGTCGGGGGAAGGGGGAAAACTTCGGGCCCAAACTTGACAATGACAGAGACAGAGGCAGAAACAGGGACAAACTTTCTGACAGTGTTTCGCTGTTCGCTGCTGTTTTATGTTTTGTAAACACATGCATGACCCATGTGAGACATCCGAAGTCACAACAACTCGATGGCAATGCCATTCTCGTAAAGGAGAAAGCGAAGAAACCAAAGAAGGCGGAGAAAGGACACAAAAGGAGAGAGTAAATGCTTTAAGTTGGTTTTCTTGCCGTAAGAAAATGTTTTACTTTTGGGGAGAAGCTCTCGAGTAAAACAAATTTTATTAGTCGCTGCTCTTAAATTTAATTAAAATTGCAAACAAGTCAATATAAAAAGAAAATGTTGATGGAAAAGTTGGGAGAAGTATATTGTGGAAAATCGATTTGGGGAGCTGAAATTGAGTTGAAGAAACAATAAAAAAATGTATTTCATTTTTATACCCTTGCAGAGCAAAAGGGTATTATAATTTCAGTCAGAAGTTTGCAACGCAGTGAAGGAGACACCTCAGACCCCATAAAGTATATATATTCTTGATCAGCATCACCATCTGAATCGAAATATGTATGTACGTCTGTCCGTCTGTCCGTCTGTCCGTCTGTCCGTCTGTCCGTCTGTCTGTCTGTCCTCCTGTCGGTTTCTATGTAAACTAGTCTCTCAGTTTTAAAGCTATCTCGCTGAAACTTTCCCAAAAGTTGTGTAGCTATTGCACGCAGTATATATGTCGGAACGAGCCGGATCGGGCGACTATATCGGATAGCTCCCATACGAGAGAATGAAATTAAAAATTCTTACTCCGTTGTTTTTGATCAGATCGACTTGATTCCTTCCAGATGGCGTTTTCTAACTGATATTGAATTTCGGATTAAATTTTATCAAAATCGGATAACCTTATCATATAGCTGCCATAGGAGAGATCAAAATATATATATATATAAATAATGGAAAAAAATTATAATGTCGTTGTTTTTCATGCCACGAGCATGATTTTTGGAACATAAAGTTTTTTTAATACTCTTAAGTTGAGAAAAAATTTCATAAAAATCGGACAACTATATCATATAGCTGCCATGGGAAAGATCGAAAAATCTATATAGAAATAACGGAAATATAATTATAACCTCGTTGTTTTTCATCAGGCAATAATGATTTTTGGAATATAGAGTTTTCTAATGAGTCTTGAGTTACTAATTTAATTTCATTAAAATCGGACGTCTATATCATATAGCTGTCATATGAACAATATGGAAAATTAATAGAAAAATCGTCATAGCTTCGATGCTCTTTAGCTTTTATGTATTTTGTTCGACAAATTTAGTAACTGCAAGGGTATATAAGCTTCGGCTTGCCGAAGCTAGCTTCCTTTCTTGTTTTCTATCTACATTAAATCACCGCAAACTAAACATTCATAATAACAATTCAAACAGGGCCCACAAAGTTGGCTTTTAGAACAAACAGAGTTAGCATTTAGCCCCAACTTTTGTGGTTTCGTTGGCCAAACAAGACGACAAAGTTGTGATACCTTGTGGGCACCCGAGGCAGGTTCCCTCCTCCTGGAGAAGCCTCACCAGTCCCATCAGACCACCTTGGAATAGACACTCTTGCAGTCGCTTTCCTCGAGTCATGCCCATTTCCACCTCCACTTCCACATTTACTTTCACTTCCACTTTCACATCCACATCCACTTCCATTCCCGTTCTCAGATGGCGGCAGCACTTTGCCAACTGCCTTGAGTGACTGATAGTTGTTTGCCTGTTTGTTTGTCCAACTCGCACTTATACTTGTACTAAAGGTACACACGAAAAAAATCAATAAAGAAAGGATGGTGGCATGTGAGTTGTCATATGAGAGAAAAAATTATTGCAAAAGTGAGTTACATTCTTATTACTACGAATTTGTTAAGATCGTTTTGATCTATTTTAGCTTAAAGCCAAGAAGGAATATAAAACCCCATCGAGTTTATTAACCAAATGGCTTATTAGTTGCGATTATATTTTCTCGCTGTGCACCTTATATAGAGCATATATCCTTGGAGGCGACGTTCGGTCCATTTCGCCGTGTTTGCGCTTGTGTTCATGTTATCTATCCATCTGTCTATTTGCCTGCGCTTACTTCGCATTTGTTCTGCTGTTTGCCTTGTAGTTATGTGCAGTTGTTTGTTGTTGCTAAATTACTGGCGCTGCCTTTGTTTTAGCTGCTTGGCTCGCCTGTGCTCGGCTTGGCTCCTCCTGTTTTGACAGCGAGTAAGTCAACACGGTCCTCGGGGGCAGGACCCTCTCCCGCTACCAAAAACCCATGCCACATCATGTTGGCTTAAACGCATTTCCGCTGCAAATAATACCCGGACTTCTGCTTTTGCTTCTGCTCCGTCCATCGCTGCACGGAGAACACAATCCGACAATTGGCCAGGGTCCGCAGGGAGGATGTGGCACAAGGATTCCCACCTCCGGGGACAGCCCCATCAGAGCCAAAGCCAATCTCGTAGACGTCGTCGATGGCGATGTCTGCGGCTGCGGAGGAAATTTTATGTTTCCTGCAACTGCTGTTGCCACACCACCGTGGAAAGGGGTACTAAATTTGTATTTTTGGGGATAAATTTGAATCTTTGCTGGAGATTTTATTATCTGAAAAAAATACAAGGGATTTATATATACAAAATTAAATAAAAAAGAATTTTTATTTTACATCGAAGAAGAATTAAAAAACTTTTAAACTAACATTCGTAGTTATCTTCTGTCTTATATTTCATTAATATTTTCTTTACTTTGTTTACTTTGTTTATTTTGCAATACTTTGTTTTATGATAGAACAAAGAATTTTGTTATAATTAATTTTCTTATTAAATTTAATATTTTATTAAAAATTGTAAACTCGGTTGCAATTTTTGTAAGGATCCTTCCCACAGTCTTCTGGCTGCTCATTGTTTTATTGTCGCTGTCGGCTACTCCGTTCGTTATGTCGACACTTGATGCCGTTTTCCCGGATCCCAGATGCCGGATGCCGAGCCACAGGGCCATGTTCTGTGGTCATGTTTGCGAAAATGACAGCAAATTATTGAAGACAGCAAGACAGCAAGAAGGCAAGGAAGTCGGTGGTAAAGTTACGCAATTAGGGCGAGCCGCTCGTCACGTAGCAGCAGACGCTTTTGAGGAGAGTTCCGTCTCGTAAACTGGGGCAATTTTTGAGAACAACAACTTTATACAGCTGCAGTTAATAACTTCGATTGGGCGGCGACCCTGATAAACGCTTTTTACGATCGCCAGTCCCTCAGCCATTTTGCACAATTTTCCTTGCAACATTTCTTTGGGTCTAGCGGGGAATAAAAAATATTTCACTGCTCACTGTTCCCTGTTATTTGCAATAAATGAATATAACGTCCGAGCTGTAATCAAGACCAGCTGCTGACAATGGTCTGCCCATTTTTTCCTTCGTTTTCCCGCCCTTTTTCCCACTGCCCTTCGTTCTTTATTCCCCAGGTTTTTTTGGGTGGGTTTTCGGATGCTTTGCAGATTTTGTTTCACTGCTCCAAACTTATTATTGCGATTTTCTGGGTGTGGTACTGGCGAAAATGACCCACGTTAATGTCCGCGCACCACAATCGAGGATATTCGAGATGAGGGGAGCGGGAGGTCATTAAAACACTGCTCTCTGCCATTTACAACTTGCAGTTTTTCAAGGAAATCGCTTAGCATTAATTTGATTACGATTCGGGCATTAAAGTCGAGCTCTCATCTCCGTATTAGTATAAATGCTGATGTGCGATAGTAAAATATTAATGGGGTATTAGACGAGGTCATAACTGCATGATTGTGTGTTTAATATTCCAGCCAATTTGTACACGTTTAATTCCTGCAAATGTTACACTTGATAGAATCTCCTTGAAGAGAGATTGTTTAAATCCTACTTTACTTCCCCCTAAAAATTCGCGAAAGTGGAAAGTAGGGAACCCAAATCTAAACCGCTTTAAGCGGAATCCTCTCCAACCCAAACTCCTCTTCTGGTTCACCTTGGGGAAGATTAATTCGCAATTTATTTGCTTTAATGCCAGCCAAGGAGGCGAAATCAGAAGACACGGCAACACTTTCAAGACCTTCCTCCTGCTCAAATTCGAATTTTTCATTTCCAGCTTCGTAGAGTTTAGGCAATGCAAAAGCAATTTACAAATTGAATTTATTCCTGTGTAGCTGCAAATATGTTTATGGCAATTTATATTTCTGTCCCACTCCTTGTGCTGCTAAAACTGAAATTAATGTCAACTAAGCAGCAATTTGCGTACCAACTGCAAACGCTGAGTGTTTTTCTAAATGAATTATGCCGCAGCGACTGTTATATAAATTATTTTCGTAATGCTAATTTCTTTGAATGAAAATGTCGTTTCGGTGCTGGTTACGGAATTAGAAATTAATTCGGCTTGTTTATTTGTAGCTGTGAACATTAAAAGTATACACTTGGTTGGTTATTCAGATGGCAAAATACGAAATGAATAAAAACAAGAAAAAAGTTGTGAATTTCCTGTGCTGAAAGTCGTACCACAATCTTACTTTCAATAATCAATGTTTCGAAAAGAGCAGCTGAACACAAAAATAACAATCAAGAACGTCCTTAAAACTCTATCGGAAACGAATTAGTTTGTCGCCAGTTTACGACTCCCATTCTCGACCCAAAGAAATGTCATAAAATCATATAAATTTCATTTCACAATTTCCGCATGCAATTTGGCGTGCCACAAATGCGGCCCACACAATGCGGCATTCCAGCCCGACAATTTCCCCTTCAGAAACCCCACTCGGAAGCCGATGTTCATGTTACCTTGCATTGCTCTCATTGTTTTTAACCCTTTCTCTTGCATTTTATTGTATTTTTGCAGCGCCATGGCCGACGGCATCCTCACCGACAACCCGCATTTGGTGCTCCTGTTCTACATGGCCCAGTTGTTCCTACGTGAACTTGTGAAGAGCTATCGCCTCATACAAGTCGTGCCAATGGATATGTCCGGCTATTATGGTAAGTTAAGTGCAACGCCAACGCACGATTCCCGGCCAACTGGGACCATGTTGCAGCTGTCGCCATTTGGCGATTGCGATTGCGGTCACTGCGATTTCGCTGTTGCCAGCAAGTGTCAAAGTCAGCGAAGGACTTTGGCAAAGGGAGTTCAACACGGTTAACATCATGTGATTTAAGCGGGGGAATTTCAATTTCAATTGATTCAGTTATTAAAGGAAATATGAGTAATTTAATGGGATTTTTATTAGTTCATTTAAATGGTGAATAAATAAGAATTGAGTAATATGAGCAATAAATAGCTGATTGTACGCAATCATCTATATAATTTCCTGCAATTTATTCTGCTGACATGCAGTTATGTGAACCCCTCGTTACTTTAATGACCTTACTGCACAAATATTTCCTCGCATTCCAAGTTGGCCCTAACGAGGATGCCTTTTCTTTGGCATCGCCATTCGGGGCAGCTTTCACTCACCGAGGAACAGACACTCGGGGCACGTTCAACAATTGTTTGGCATACTTGGCGCTGCAGTTGCGACTCAGTGCGTCCTGGCCGTGATTGCCATTCCTTGGCCATGTTTAATGTGCACGTGCGAGCGCAAAAATATGCAGAGCCAAACTCCGAACTGATTTGTCGCCAGGCTGACCATGGAAAATGCCGGCGAATACAAATGCGGGGCAAATGCCAAATGCCAATTGCGATCATAAATTTTTAAATTACAACCACTACGTTGGCACTGGTTTCTCAGCCAGTCAACATACACCCACACCCACAAAAACACCCTGAAAACTGGGGAACAGGGTGTAAATATTTACAGAGCCACTGGCTTTTGGCCATTGGATGCAGCGAATTTACAACGCACCCGCGCCGAAAACTGGGGAAACAAACAAGTAACTGCAGTACCATGAAAACGCCATCAACGCAGAATATGCAATAAAAAATTCAAAAATTGAAAGCTCCTTTTTTCCCTGTGTTTGGTTGTTATAATTGCAAACCAAAATATACGCAAAATTGGCAGGGGAGATAGCCAGTTGCGATTCTGCGATGGCAGTTTTATGTGTCCTTAATTATTGCCTTGCTGGCGAAAATTCATTGCCTTGCACGATTGCCACCAAAAGAGTTGCTTTCTGTATTGCTAGATTTATTTAGTACCCTTTAAACAGATAAATTAGGGTTGAAACAGAAGGAAAGTTAATTTAATTCTACGCTTGTTTAAAAAATATTATTTTGCTTAAAGTTTGTTTAATATAAATATTAGACTGAGTATACCCTCTACCTCAACTAATGAGCTGTATAAAAATTCAAAGCGTTGAATGCCTGTCATGCACGCTCGCATCTGCCATGGAATATGAAATATGAATATTGCGCATACGCCACGTTGGACGATCGAATAGATTGCAATGCATTGAGGCGTGCAGCTCAGCAAGTTTTAGCAAGTAATTAATTTGACCATGGCTGATGAAGATTGATGGCTGATCGGATATTGATTGCAGCAATCAATCAAATGGAAAACATCAAAGCAACTAAACACAACTAGAGTAATAAAATGCTAGAAAAGTTTTTCATAAAACAGTCAAATGATAGACAAAGTAATAAAATTTAAAATTGCTGTGTACGCTTCCGAGCTTGTGATCATTAAATTGGTAAAAGTTAAAGCCAAAAGTTGAAATCAGCAACGAAGAGACAGACATCAAAGCGCTTTACAAATGAAAAGCGAAAGCTAATGAAGCAGCAAAGCAACGGGAAAATAAAACAAAAAGTGGGCAATGCAAACGTCAAAGGAAAATGTTTGCATAAAAATAAATGAAACAAATAAATACGGCTTCCTGTGGCTGTGGCCAGGTCAAAACCAAATGGTTTATTTTATTGCCGAGCTAGGGGAAATGTCGGGCGAAGAGCTTGACTCTCCTGCAAACTTGGCTTAGTGGCGGCTTATCACTTGACTCTGATTTATCCCCTGACTTCTTTTCTATTTTTTATGCTTCACAGAGAACCGAGCCGGGCCCTCGAATCTGGGCAATGTCATCAGCCAGATATTGCTGTGCAAACAGTTCACGCCCGACTTCAACGAGGAGGAGCTGTGCAGCATCACCAAAGACTCGCAGGACATCGCCGTGCTCCTTTCCGAGATGCAGGAGTACATGCCGCAGCACGAGGCGTACTTGGGTGAGTCCTCTCTAACTGCGCAGGCTCCCGGGCTTTTTGCTCCGTGCTCTGTGCCACTGGGCTGCCAGCGGGCTCCATTGCCAAACGCCGTGCACTTTGGTATTTTATTTGGCCAAGGCCCGCCGAGCAAACAAAATTGCATGCAGCACACACAAAAAGGGCAAAGCTGCGCACAAAAACTAGACAGGCTATTAAGGTCCATGCTTGCAAAGGCTTTACACATATTTTCTAAAAATATATTGCTATAAAATTGAGTGGAACTATTTCCCATCACCTAACAATCACTTTTCTAAAGTAAACCAAAAATAATAAACAACAATTATCTTAAAAACAAAAAATACTACCATACAATTGAAATGAATAAATATTTTTTTGTGTGCTGCTTATACATTCTTTTTCCTCCGAAACTGGTTAACTAATCAAGCCAATGTTTACCTTTCCATGTAATTTTTGTAGAACGCAACGCGGCACTGGACACAACTGGACCTTGGCAGGCGAAGAGGCGGCAGAACTACATCTGCAAGAACATGAGCCTCCTGTGCTGCGTCTCCAGGCCCAACTACCTTTGAGAGCAGGCCGAGGGTCTGTAGTCGGAGTCGAACTAGTCCCGGTGGTCACTACTTATATCAATTACTAGCGCCTAAGTTGAGCCTGCGAACCGTAGAGGAAATTCTAGATCTTAAGCCGAGGAGCGGAACACTCAATTAGCATTGTAACATAATCAATAATCAAAGGTCGACGGCAGTTCCAAAAGAGCTGCGTTCTTCTCCTCCCAGAGACATGTGTATAATCAAAGTTAATTATGCTGCATATACAATATTAATATAAAAACCAATTACGCATTACGAATATGGATATGGATACGGATATATATACCACAAAGACACCGATATAGCGACGTTTAGCCAGTGGATCGGAGCCAGTTAAGACTTTTAGGCCATTAAATTGTAGTCACTGTATAGACCCAGGCAAAACCGACATGGTGTAACCCTTGAGTTAACATTTAGATTAGGCAGAGGGGCTGGGCCAGAAGGATCGACGGGTGCTGGGAGCAAATGGCAGTTTAGTGTTAGTTCAAAACGATGTAGCCTTCGTAATTAAGCTAAAAGCCTCCACGGGCAAGTGCTAAACAAAAGCAATAACAAACATGTTACTCAAACAGAAATATATATTATAAATGAATATCTAATCAGATAGATGTGTAATTAAAATGTCTCTAGGTTTCCGTTTGTTCATTTCACGGTTTTCAAAGTGAACTCTGCACAGTACCTAAAAAGAACAAATAATCGAAAAACAAACGAGCAACGCGTGACCAATGAAAATACAAACAAACCAAATCAATCTGTTTAAAAAACAAGGTTTATTAACAAATCAATATCCCATTATCAAACGATAATAATAGATTCAGTAAAAGGAAGAGGCAACAAAGAATTTCAATCAGCCAACTTTGTGTAATATTTAAGCAGCCAATGAATATTTATTTCCGTAAAGAATTTATTTCAAATATTAGTTGGATGTAAACACAAACAGAGTATATCTAATATAGTTCACAATAATATGTATTTTATTTAAAATAAAACAGATGAGACCAAAAATGTAGCAATTAAATTATTAAAGGAAACAGTTCTACTCCCTCCAGTTTAATTCTTTTGTTTGCCAATACGCAAAAATCAATTGGTGGCAAATAAATTATTGCCCGGCCGAAATGAATATAAATAATTATGAGCTTATTGTTTTCTGGTTCCATTGAAATCGCATTAAAACTGCACAACTTTTGTTTTTTGCAAATTAAAATGTGTTTTTAAACAGCCGCAGCGAGGAATATGGAAAATTCATAAGTGTTTTAAATTGGAGAGCAAAAACAACCTTTTAATGGAATGCGTTATTTATTTAGACTGCACACACTTTTTTCGATTGGCCCCGCATATTTAATGACAATTAAGTGAAGAACTTTTTTGGCTGCAAGTGAGCAGAATTTGTTTAACATTGTAAATCAATTTGTTGTGCAAACAACAACTTAACATTTGCTGGACCGCTGAAATGACAATGAAAATGTAAAAACTCTGCTAGAATGCCTGGAACACAATGGGCCAAGTAGTTGGCATGTATTTGTACACACTTGAATCCCGATAGAGTATATATATACACAGAATGTAGTACAGAGGAGTCTCTCATTAATATCGAAGTTAAGAACACATTATTTACTAATTTTTATTTACTTATTCGATTCTAGGCATAAATCAAACACCAAACAAATTTACACGTCTCTAGAGAATATAGTTCCGAAATAGTATGTTTATAATATTGATAATTATTTACCTGTATATGAATGTATATTGCTTAGATCGTTTAACTAGGTATTCCATCGACAAGCCGTGATTGTTATATGATATTCATATAAGAATTATCTGAATGTATTTATTAATGTTTGTTCATGTTGTTTGAAACTAAATGCCACTGAGAAGTAACTCAAAAACTCACACACTAGCAACAAGAAACGAGAAAAACACAAGCGAGAAACCAAAAGCGAAACTAATTACCAAACTGGGTACCAATCAAATATGAATAAAGCTATTTTTAGAGAAACTAAAAGCCAGTCTTGAGTTCACTTCAGCTTTTTTGGGAACTGGGGCTTTAAGTCTGCGAAAGGGCAAGAGCGTTAAATTGCTGGCGAACGTGTAACTCTGAATTTATTACACTTCATAAAAGAGCGATTAATGTTTATAGATGCGATTTTATCACGAACACCCGAGCAACGATATATATGTGTGCACCCATAAAGATGGAAGATTGCTGAGGGTAGAATCCTCGAAGGGTTGCTACCTGAGGAAATTTATTGAAGAGTTGCCGCAAATTTAATTTGCTTTAATATCTTTACTCCCCTGGAAAATTGGAAATAGTTGTTCTCCTATCTTTAATATAGTTTATATTGGACCATATGCATTTCCACTCTTGAATTTGTTAATACAGTGGATTCTATTTTCCAAGTTCGTATATACCCCTCTTGTTACCCCTTACCTTTATTTAAAAAAGTTTTTGGTTTAAGCACTTCCAAAGGTCTACGTGCCAAGGCATTGAGAACAAGCCAACGTGTTCGACAAAAGATACGTCTTAATCAATCTTAACCTGATGCCAAGTGGCAAAATGGCAGCATCTCTGCGAACCCCTCCTCATGTTTACTTTAAACGCACTCTTCGGTGGGAAGGGGAAAAGCTGCTCCAGCTTATCGTTGGGTTAGCGGGTCGGACTTGGCTTAAAAGTTGCAGCCACGACACAGGCCCAATGCAAATTGCATGGTCACGTAGGTTCGGCGTCGAGAACTCTATGTAAATTAGTTTGCAAACTTACGGCAGCGATTGCCTTTTGATGTGGCCGGAATGAAGGGATGGGGATCGGTGGGGGGTGGTTGCTGGGGGGACTGAAGCCTTTCTGCGAGTACGTGCCGTTTTGGCCAAAATGCTTCATTTACCGCGCACGCACACGCATACATGCACACACACACACTTGGACACCTTGCTCGATGGCATTGGCTGTGGTTTCGGCCCGACTTTCCCGCTCCTTCAGAAGGCGGCTATAACGGCTTATCCTTCAGCCAGACGTGAGGTGTTAATAGATTTACGTGGCTCCTGTTCGGCCGGGCCTTCTGGTTGAGCAATGTACTCCTTGCCACGTTCAAGAGCGCACTACATCAAAAGCAGTGAGGAAAATTGCGTTGGAACTCGAGGGTTAGAGCATCATCAAGTGAGGAATAATTAATAAATTTTAAATTTGGTAAGTTAAAGTGTTTATTGGGAACTAAATAATGTTACTATTACTTAAACACAGTTAATTGTAATTTAATCTTAAATCTTGTATGAGATTTAAATATCCCCAAAAAGTATGCTACATTCTATATTTTCCACAAAATACTCATACTTCTTTGTTTATTTTTTAATCTCTAGAGTTATATCCCTATTACTGGCAGTACTTATTAATTTAAATGTTTTAAATTTTTCTTTACTTCTTTTATACATTTGAAGCAAGTTTTGCTTTATCTCAGATTATTTTCGCCAACTCATTAAGCGCCTCTTTATTTCCCTGCGTGTAAACTGCGAAATGACAATGGGACACGCATGCCTTTGGCCGTGGCAGCACTCGCGGCTCATTATGCTTCACAATGGAGCACGAATAAAAAGTAAAACAGCCCGAAAAAACAAAAAATTTGCAATTCAAAGTAAACAAGGAGCGAGAAGTTAAAACAACAGAAGGGGATGGCGTCAAAAGTTGGCTAAGCAGAACGGAAGTTGACATTATTTTTACTTTCTCCCGTTTGTTTTTCGTTTGTTTGCCTGTGTGTGTTCTTCCTTTTGATGTGTGTGTTGGGGGGACGTGTAGGGGGCTACCAAAAGTAGAGTGGAGTTGAGTGGCCAGCAAACAAGTTGGATCCCAGCACCCACAGTGTATTTATTAGTGTGTGTGTGTGTGTGTGTGAGTGGGTCTGTGTGCGTCAAAGCCAAAATAAATGCCAACAAGGATAATTCCGGGGTAATCCGATTTAGTGCGTTGCCCGCTGCTGGTTCTCCGGATGCCTGGCCCTCACAAAAACCCTCTTGATTATGTGCCGCTGCCCCTGGACTTCCCATCCCCTCCCCCTTCCCCTATCCACACCCCTCTCCTTCCACTCTTTCGTTGTCCTGGCCAATATCCTGGGCACTTACTAGCCAGCTGATGCTGGTCAGATGGCCGGCGAATCGCAACAGACCCACAATGGGCGGAATAAAATAGCTTGCTGGATACAACTTAATAGGGATTTAATAGTTTTAATGGAATTATTTTACTTTTTATGGGAAAAAGGAGGGCAAAGTTGGTTGAAAGGATTTAAATTGTATATCGTTTTAAATTATTTATTTTAATCTCTCCATGCATTTACTGGTTTTTTGTTGGAAAATGCATGATAAAGTATATGTTTTTAAAAATAAGAAATAAATAAGGCATCTGTCTTCTTGTCCCACTGTTGAAAGTCCTGTGTTTCTGGTCCCCAGTTCGTTTGAGAGCGTATGCTTTCGCTTTTGCAGCACACTCCTGACTTTTTAATGTTGTTTGATGCCACTCGTGGTGGGTGAATTTTGTGTTTGGGACCCGCAATGCTGTTTTTGTCACGGCCACGTTCCCCTTTCAGTCTCCTTGTGGGGCCCAAAAATTAAAAACATAATTTTCATGTTGCTCTACGCATTGTTGCTGCCTTTTGCATAATTGAATAACGTGGTCGAGCGGCAGGATAATGCCGACTGGGGGTGAGTCTGCGGCTTTTGCGTTCGTCTGAGAGCGGTCCCCTGCCAATTGCGGTCTTTAAGACAATCGCCGAGGCTATTGTACAAATAAGCACGGCCAAAATCCGTCTCAGACGGCCGCAATTGCTCTTCGAGTCTTCAAATGAGAATGGAAATCGAGCGCTGACCCCGAGTTGTTTTGTTCGCTCGCCGTATTATCAGATGCCTCGTTTCGGGGGAGAGTTTCCCTTAAAGCCTCACGAATACGAACAAATTTAAGGGGCTTGTGCTCGGGGGAACGGCAGTTAAATGTTTCCGTGGCACACGTGGCGTATGCGCAATAAAACGCTAGAGATAGCTAATCATTGGCGCACATTGATTACGGAATGTCTTAAAGCCGTCAATTAAAGACACGTTTTGCGGGAGAACTCAAGGGTTTCGATTTTACTTTGATGTGATTCTGGGAGTCCTTTCTGCGGCATTCCTTTATCAAAAGCCTTGAAAACCATTTAGCCAAAGCAAAAAGTACTTGGATGGCTGGCAAAAATGCACTAACTACGCTCTGCTTTTTCGCTTAGAAATGCACAAAGGAATGCCGTTCAAAGTGGGCGGTTGGATGGCGCGATGCCGGTTAAAAATGCATTCGTGCTGCTTTTTGGGCGAATTGCATGCGATAAACTTTATAATTCAATTGTGGTGCTCCAAGTCGTATGTCGCATCAAAGCCAAAGTGCAAACCACGTGCTGCTGGCTTGTAATTTTAAAACTGAATTACGGTACTTGCAGCTTAACCGCAGAACCACCGACTATAAATTGCCTGCTTTTTTTTTTTTTTTGGTGCAGAGTAAAAGTTTATTCATTGCCCACCGCAAACGTTCCACACTTGACAATTTTAATAACGTCGAGGCGAAGGTGCCGACGCTCATTAATATGCCAATTGTAATTAGACCGTAGAATGTCCTTAACGCTCCTGTCAATCGATTGGCGGTGTCCTAGTTACAACCTTCAAGGGGTCCTTTCAACGAATTAAAGAGATTACAGGTAATTTGCCTGTACTTTCAATTGAGTGGCAAATTAGCACTTAATTGGCTAATTGAGGAAGTAAAAACATCAATTCGAGAATCTTTTTGGATAAGAACAATTTTTGGAATATGTTATTTAATTTATATTTTTTTTATATTTACAAGTTTAGTTATTTTAATTTTCAATTTCTGTTAAAAATCATTTAAAAGGAAGACCTATAGCAGTTAGCTTTTGTAAGTCACGAAAGGCTTGTGTCCGTGTACCGCATAGAATGACATCTAGATGGCGCTAAAAATTCGAGCATAGCGGGAAAAGTGTGAAATTGTCCTCCGTGTTTAAAAGGAAAATTGTAGCTTTCAAAGGTAATCACCAGAGGGCGCATATCAATTGGCGCTAATTTTAAAAGATTTTTAAAAACATTTTTCATTTTGGTATTTTGGAGGAGGAACTTGGATTCCGCGTACTTATGACAAATGGGGCAGTTATTGGAAAGAGGGAAACCAGGCCGTGATCGACAACCCCATTCCATGGAGAGAGGCAGATGCAATAAGAATTACCGTCCTCGATTTCCTGAAACTTATTTTGCAGATGGTTCGATGAGATGCTCTGCCGCTTGGAGTTCCGCAATTGACTTATTGGCAAATTATTCCAATTTATCGATACTTTAGCTTATTAATTATGTCAGTATATAGATTTTGGGTAAGTAAAAATTGTATAGAAATGGAAAGCAGAAATATAACAAACACAAAACATTTATTACCTCTCAAAACTTTTTTGCCTTCTCCTCGCCCATTTGTAAATCATTTTTCGTTCGCTTTCGCACGTCTGTCCACTCGAAGCCCTCATATTTGCTGGGTTCACTCCAAGTTGACTGAAAAAGCAGTACATCCTGCGGCCTCAAACGCAAATACACCTAAGTTCAAACACCTGCTAAAGTTCAAAACATCAATGGCAACGGGAACCGCAACAAGCAAACAAATGAGGGTCAAACTGCGAAAAAAGGAAAACATTTCGCCCACGGGGCTCCACACAGACACATGCTAACTTGCTGAATTCAATGCGGCATATAACCCAAAGCTTGTGCCTTTCCCCGTTTTTTCCGGAAGGTTCCTATTCCTGATTCCCTTTCAATTAAGGGCGGGAAAGGGGGGAGGTACTGGGTGAACTTTGACCATTCAACACGTCCATTTCCATTTGCAATGAGGCCATGGACGGAGTTTAGGGGGAACTATTTTTGCAAGTCAAATAATGTTTTTATTTTATGCGCTTTCTATAATTTTAATTTGGCTGCCTACATTTTCCCTTTAATGTTGTAATAAAA